CGCAATTTTGTCATAGACTCCGTCTCCATCACGAGACAAAGAAGTAGCCGCGAGCTACTTGCCTTATTGCAAGTGAATCGCAGTCGTTACACAAAGATTCTCCGCGAACGGAATCTGTATAAAGTCGCATTGTATCGTTCTTTGTTATTCCGCGCGAGGACCTTGCGACTTCCATTAAATTATAACGGAGTTTAAGACACAATTACGAAGTTCCGTTATAGTTTACGTCGGACGTTTGATAAAGTTTGCGGACGGCGTCGGTACCGAAATTAAAGATTTCGTCGCGCGACCCGACCTCGAATCGCGCGCGCGCGCGCGTAAAATATTGACGGCGGGAGCGACCCTTCGAACAAACTGATTAATTATAAAGCCGCGTCTCTTTCCGGTGAGCTCTCTCAGACGTCACACACGCGCGATGATAAATTCACGCGATTCTTCTCTCGCAAGAATTATCGAACCGAGATTGGACGGAGAGAAGATACAGCCAGCTCAGGTTTTGTCTCGCGCTATTATCCGAATCGAAGGAAAGAGACGCGTTCTCCGACCGAACGTTCTCTCTCGTTCTGTAATTTTCCAGCAGGGGTGCGCGTCGCCCTGTACTTCGTTCGCATCCATCGTGGGAGAAACGCCCCTCCTTCCCCCTCCCCTTTAACACGTTGAGTGCCATGCCAATCCCACTGGGCCCGAATTCCCAATGTATTGTGTTAACCTCTTCGGGGACGAAGTTTTCTTTATTATAAACTTTATCAACGAAGATATAACGTTACTGTGAATAAACGTTTACTATAAGATTTCTCAACAAGAAACAGAGATCTCGTCTCTTGTACGATGGACAGATATATGTATTTTCATTTCAAAATAAACAGTTCTTTCTTGCTTTAATAAATTCCCCTCCGAAGAGATTAACGATACTTTATTACCCCTATTCGGTATCCGTGTAAATACTCTATAGAAATGATCGAGCGCTCGTTTAAATCACTCCTAATCAGGCAAATAAAAGCGTGTACAAAGCGAAGGGTTCTCTCGTGGAAATTCACTCGTCATCCGGGCGTGATCGATGCGGCACTCGACGTGTTAATTTCGAATACTCCCGGGTAGTTTCGCGCCCCTATAATTGCGATCGTTTCATTAGACGAAAGTGTGACCGAGCGGTTGTCGGGGAAATCGCGTCGTTTCTCACGCAACGACCGATCCGAGCGGTTTATGAACGAGGCCGTCGTGGATCGCGATTCGCATAATCGATTCGCGAGTGTGCTGAGTTCTTATTGCCGAAGTCAGCGACCGTGGCAAGCGGACGGAGGCGGGGAATTTACGAATATCCCGGTATCGCTCGAATCCAGCGACATGGCCGACGTTCTCCTCATAATCTTTCCTCACCGTGGAACGCGCGCATGTAACGCACCTGCATTCCGACGTGCTCCAGAAGATGTGCCTTTATCTGCTCCGCTTATCGCGAATAAACACACCAGTATCAGCGCATATTATTTCAATTTCACCGGCACTAGGATGTGCTCCGCGCGCCTCAGATGGAAAACACAATGCGATGGAAACGACGAGATGCGACCGGTGTGACTCAGATTCCAGCGATTCTCCACGACGACAGATAAGAGCGGAACGTTGCGTTACGGTGCCCGCATTATCATCTCTCCTCGCGCCCCGTATGCTCACCTTTTCTCGAGGTGGTGATAAAAAAAAAAGGAGAAAAATATGTGACGAGAGATCGGTTGCCGCATCAGATCGATCCTGCTTATCGATCGTGTATTCCCCCTCGATAAATTGTTCAAATCGAATTCAGATATCGTTTCAGATGTATATATCGTAATAACCGTATCGCCGCTCGCGCGCTACGCGAATAATAACATCGCAGTCCAATATCGCGTTCTTGTTTTCGTCGTTCGACTTTCATATTTACGACGACTGATATACAATTATTTACGACCAGTCATTGTGCTAGCTCTGCTGTGAGTCCCGTACGGGCGATGATCTAAGGATTTCTGCCTCTCTCGTTGCTATAATAGTGAGAGTCGAATTTAACAAGAAATATAATACACGACTGCTTCGTGCTATGCTATGTTGACATGTATGCGGGTCATAATGGCGGCCGACGCGAAACATATCGTAGGCAATTATTCGTGGATTATATTCTTTCTCACAATGGTTAAAATATTTATATGTGTGTGTGTGTGTGTGTGTGTGTGTAAATATACCGCATGCCCCATTATAATCGCTTGAATGGCACATATGTATTCCCCGATACATATGTACCATTTCGACACGAATCATTTGCGGGACGTGCGCACCAAAACGTGTATACGTATTATCTTTGGTGTAGAATTACGAAATCTCGTTAACCTCCGGCCCGTAGAATAAATTTCCAAATTACACCGGGGATAATTGCTGACTCTTCGACAAATAATTAATCGCCATCTCATTTGCGAACATTCATTTCGGTAATGCGGGTAATTGCCGTACGTCGCTTCCGAGGTCGCCCTCGGGAGCTCCGACCATTCTTGACGCTGATTGTCCGCCCGGTTTCATTTTTGCCGATGGCATCGTCGCGCCTATCGTCCGTCCTTCGTTTCAGAGAAACGGCGTTTCACATCGTTAGCCGACGTCCGCGCCCATCTTCCGTATTACCGGTCAAAATCAAGGCCAGTTTTCCGAACGCAATCCTTACGACGCGTCGAACACGAGGAGAAGTTACACCGACCGTATCTTCTTTTTATACCGTCCGCCCTGCCCGTCGACCGTGCTAAGTCCGCGGGCGTGGACAGGAGGCGCAGGAGGAACGCTAAAAACAGTATTTATTTTCGTACTATTTTCGCGCGGCATGTAAGTTACACGGCCGCCAACCATTGCGCGCCACGGTCACGGCGTTAATCTATTTCTGCGGACGCTCCGTTTATAAGCAACGCTCGTCGGCGTTGCGGAAGGTGCCAGGTCGTAACGCGCCTTTGACCAACCGCACTTCTCTGTAACGAAATGCTATAACTACGCTCGGCTGAAAATGCGTCTAACGGAGGAAAATTCGGCCATTACTAGGGCCATTGGCAAAGTGGTCACACACGGTTAATTATTCCGAGGACCGAGATTGTCCTCGGTCTTATTCGCGCGTTTACGAATAAAAAAAAAACAAAGAAAGACAAAGAGAGAGAGAGAGAGAGAGAGAGAAGGAACGAGCGGAAATACGTTCGCACGTTGGCGCGGTGAGCGGGAGAAAAAGTCGTGCGGTAGGTCGGAAGCAGGTCCGCGCATCGCTCACGAGAGAAAGAGAGAGGGCTGCGGCCGAAAGAGAAAAGAAGAAAGAAACCGGGCGCGAGAGAACGGCCTTTGCGCACGGTAAATATTGGTCGCGTACATCCCGGGATTAATAGCGCTTCCGGGACGGCTGAAATGAAGGGCTAATCCAATGTAAGACGGTAAAAGGCCTCGGCAAGCACTGAACGGTATATACGGTGGCCGCCGAGCGAGCGACGTGCGTCACTACGCGAAATTATTATTAGCGATCGATTGGGGGCGGATGAGGATTTATTACGTGTCATCCATCGTCTCGAGACCACGTCCTCTAATCTCGTGAGCAGCCACCTCTCCGTCCCGAACGCCGTAATGGCGATTGCCCTCTCTGTCTCTCTCTCTTTCGGCTTAATCCCTCGGAAAACCGTGCCATGTGCCGCGCGAGCGAAAGAAAATTTAATTGTCTACAATCAGCGTTAACCGAAGTTGGCTCAACCGAAGGTGTTCCCGCGCGGACTTCAAACCTCGTTATCCGTGCTCCGTGTAAAGTCCGACTCTCTCACCCCCTGCTCCCCTCTCTAATTGGAACACCGTCCGAAAGCTGCAAATTGATTCAAGCACACCGAGGAGGCGGAATTTCCGCGCACGGTGAGAGATCGCGATTTTCCCCGTCGAGATTGTTCGCACGCCGCGAACGCGTCGGGGACGCGATTTCTAATAAAAAGCGATCGCGAGGTCACGATTCGCCGAGCGAGATTCGTTCGACCTGAGTCGACACGGCACGACGACGACGATCTCATTGTCTTGTCGAGCGAGGGGATGTTCTTTTTTAACTTCATCGGACTCTCGTTCGCGAGAAATCGAACCGGAGGAGAGCTGGAACGCGCGGCTGCGCCATCGACGTCGTTGAGCGTCGCCCGGTTTCGGCGACTCGTCTTAATTAAACTCGGCTGCCGCGGAACCTTCGCTCACGCGACTCTGGAGAATGGCTGTTTTTTCGCGCGATGATGCGATGGGTGCAAAACGCGCGACGAGAAAAGAAAATCGATATATCTGTTAGACGAGAGAGAGAGAGAGAGAGAGAGGGGGCGTTCGGCCATCACCGATGTGCGAGGTGTGCCGCCGCGTTTACGACGGAGAAAGATACTCCAGAACCGATTTCACGATCTGCTAAATGTCAGGCCTCGTAACCGCCGCGGCTTTAAAATAGGATCGATACGCGGGCCGGTTGTGCTCTCGCGGAGTCTCGAGAACCGGCGCGCTTCGAACGCGTCCTCGCGGTGATTTACGTCTCGCACGACGTCGAACGGCATCATCGGGCTGTCTGTCCGCAAACTCGTGCCATCGTGTATCGTCGATCAAAGTTCGAGGGAAATGTGTGCGACATTGTTGCGAAACAGCGGATTGACCGTCGCAAAATACGTTTCCGCTCTGTCGAAGAGTCAGACCGTTCGGAGCGACGAATAGAGCGACCTATCGAAGCGTAACGTCGCGTATACTGATTGTTGCTACGTTTTCAATGTATAAGGAAAATAACGTTCGAGTCATTCGTTCGACAATCAACACCGTAAGACCGGGGTCGTTTCGTGCTAAACATGACCGTCCGTTACTATTCCACAGCCGGTTTCAGTCCGCAATCTTGCCGTTGAATTTCGAATCTCAAGGCAGATGTGCAAGAGCAAAATCTATTGAATCGATCCATTGGAAAGGATGATATTCCGCTCCCGTCGCGACTGCGATGGAACTGTGTGCGGAATGGAACTTACGTGTCGCCGCCAGCAGGAAAATAGTCGTTGGGATCGCTGTGCCCGCCATGGCCCTGGTCGTCGGGTGTACCGTAATCGCGTTGGGGTGGGTTCACAAAGGAAAGGACGAGGGGACAGATCGAGAGAGAGAAAGAAGGAAAAAGGGGAAGAGAGAGAGAGAGAGAGAGAATGAGAGAGAAGAGAAGTGGCAGTTGGGGGGAAGAGACACACAGCGCGAACGAACCGACGCGGCCTTCTCTACGTCTCTCGGCGACACCCGGTCAACTCGGCAGTCTCGAAACGACTGACTGTCTCCACCGAGAGAGGAGCGGTCGACCGATCGTCGAAATCCAGGCGTACATAATGGTACGTACACAGGCGGTCGGTCATATTTCGCGGCGCCGCAACGCCGCGCGCGCCGGTATACACACGTGGTGTGCGCTCTCTCTCTCTCTCTCTCTTTCTCGCCGAGCGGAAAGGCGCGCGATGCGTGGATCGAATCGAAAGCCGCTTCGAGCCGCAAGGGTTAGAAGGATCCATTGTGGCTTATCGCGGCATTCCGCGCGTTCGACGCGGGATTTCCGCATGGGACGTTTGCGAAAGAGAGAGAGAGACGAATGCTCGCGTGCGCGCGGAAAGAGAAACGAACGGAAGACGCGCACAGAAATATCACGCGCACGGGACACTCGCACCTGTGGACAGGTAGCAGGTTGAGACTCTGTTACTGTAGTCTACAATGGGCAGAGTAGAAGTATATTCATAAGAAGTAAGAAGCATGAGATTAACCGATCGTACTTGAATGCACGGGGAAAGCAAATTTCGTTAGGACAGTAAATGTTCGTCAATATAGTGACGGCAAAAGAAAAGTTTGTTTTAGACAGCAAAAAATCGGTTCGAACAACCGAAAGATTTGTTGAGAGTATTGATTGCTATTTGCTGGACACACGGACAATTAAAACTCTCAACAAATCTTCCCACTGTCCGAATCAAATTTTTGCTGTCTAAACAAATTTTTCTCTACTGTCACTATATCGAACATTTGCTGTTCCGGCAAAATTTCTTTTCTCCGTGTGTAAGGGGAATAATCGACTATGATCAGTTAATTTATTACTCTTCCTTCATACAAACGTACTCCTACCGCCCATCTTTGTAGGTGCACGTCCGTTGGCCGCGGGCGCCGGTGAGTGGAACGTCCGCTCCTGGCGAACCCTCTTTTATCGTGTCGGAGAAATCTCTACTTTTCTCTCGGCGTCCTTTTCGCGTCCGTCCGTTGAACTGGACGCGAGACGGAAAACGGCTACAACCCTCCGAATCCTACGAATGGCAGGTGAATCCTCACGTTTCACGGATGATCGCAGCTCGCGCGCAAAGAGGAAGTATCGAGCGTATCGGGAAAAAGGTAGACGATCGCGCGGTGGTTCGGCGTTTCTCAAAATAAATTGCGCGTCCCGCTCGTAGAAATTATTTATCCGATTGCGATTGCGCTGCAAAGGATGTGCGCGAGTGCAATGTGCGAAAATTCGAGGAAACGCGGCGATACAGTTGACGGGCATCGATCGACAAACAAAGCGGGAGCCGCTTTGTGCGGCTTGTGGAGCCGCGATGTTTTATCGCCGCGCCGCGTTTGATTAATTTAACCGGGGCCGTGAATCAAACGGGCGTGACCCTCGCGCGACTTGATCAACTTGGTTAAACGGCTTTGATGGGGTTGCCGAAAGGACGAGCTTGACAGTTCACGCGCCGTAAACGAGCGACGAATACGAGTTCACGTGTCGTTGTTTTACCGTAGAATTCGCCGAGTGCGTTCGACATGTGTTCGACGCAGGGAACCCCGAACGGACCGTAAATGCGGCGACGAGGGTCGTTTTCGTGACTCGGCACACGTGGTGGTGGGGCGGAACATCTGTCGAGGGTTCACGAGCGTAGGGTAGTCGCCGAGTTTTGTAGAACTTTTATAATTGACGGAAGCCACCGGCTAGTATATTTCTCTACGACGCGAATGGCTTTCTTTCGACGACGACGCTCTCGCACCGTGTGTTGTGCTCCTCAACGAGAACGTTCGGAGAGGAGGACGCTGGTCGCGTTTCCGGTTCGGTCGCGACGCGAATAACGAATCCTTCCGACGTATAAATCGTTATCATGTCGAGGGGAAAGCGGTATTATGGTCCCCCTATTTTACATTTTGTGCGATAACTTTGTTAATAATCAATATTTCAAATTGAAAACTCAATTTGACGAAATTACGTTCATCAAAACGTCGTTCAATCGATTTCAAGCTCAAAGCTATGAAATATTTATTATCCAGGACGTTATTTATTGAAAAATCTGACACTGCGTGATGGTTCGAAGAGGAACAGGGATGATGATGTGTCTATTCACTGAGATAGACTTAAAAAATTGATTTTTTGTTTAAAAGTTCACTGTGTTTTGTTATAAATTTATATATTTTTTTCAAAATAAACTCTCTCTTACGAAAAACCACAATGAATATAACCGTGAATTTTTAATATAGTGTTACGCCCGTGTCTTGGCGCCCGCGCTTTTAGCGCCCTGAACATACAGCTGATTCTCTTGGCAACGAGTCGTAAACAACTGATGATCAGCGTTGACGGATAAACAACGGGTTTGAGAGATTCTCTCTGGGGCGGTTGAGTCGTCGTGACGTGCGCGACGGTTTTTAACGAAAGAGAGAGCTTAAGCCTGCGAGTTTCGCGTGCTTCCTTGTAAATAGCAAATATAGTTGAAGTTGTTTTCTTTTTAACGTTGTCTCGTTTTATTTCCCCGCGCGAGCGTAACAATAGATACTGACTTACTCTGCCAGAAGACAGATGGCAAACTGTTTGAAGGCCAAAACACAAAAAATACAAAACTAATAAGCTTTTAAACTTAACTTGAATTATTGACTATGAAATCAAATATGACTCATCAAATATGAAGACCTCGCAAAAGAGACCGCATTTAATCTATTGTGGTAGGAGGTCCAAATTAGCAAAAAAATGCTATGCCATTGCTTAATTTCGCATAACTCAAAATGTGCTACAGTGGAATAAAATATGAAATAATCTACAAACAGGTGTGCATATATTCGTGTGATAATACGCTCAAATTTAAGAGGAATGAGGAATTACGTATGTGTAATTAAATGCTAAGATGTACCTTGAAAATGTGTCGAAATACTCGAAAGTAAAAATACATTATAACAAATACCGGCTATTACATATCGACGTATTAACGCCACTGCATAACAGCGGGCTGCTAAACAAATGATTACACAATGAATCGCTAAAATTCTCCGCCTAACAAAGAAGACATTAAGAGGGACCGTTACACCTGCAAGAGCCGCAACACCACCTTCTCCTCCGGTCGGTACTCGTTACGACGGAGAAGAAGACGATCCATTCTCTCGATATTTTACTATTATCAACAAAGTTGAAGGAGCGTTTTTCCTCCGTTGTGCTCGTCGATCACGATTGTTGGAATTATCGGAGCGGTCAGTAAATTCCGACGACTGTTCGGCGGCGTTACGCGCAAGGGAACGCTTGGCGATCGGGAGAACGTAATTTGAAGCCGGCCGACGAATTCGACGAATTCAATTAAGCGTTTGCGCGCGTGTTATCTCTTCTAGACGTTGAACTGTTAAACACAGCGAGTTTCGCCCGACAGTGGGAACACCACCGACAGCCACCGTGGTTCAACCTGTCAACGACGTTCTCAGCGTTAGCCTGAATCATCCGACGATCATCTAATCGTATTATATGACAAATTTATGCGAAGAGTCCCCGCAACGTTTCTCCGGGAAGAAGGAATGACGAGACTTATTGCTCGCAGCGACAGAAATGAATCCACCAGGGGTGGTGCTCCGAGCGATTCACCGAATTCATGAATAATCACTCCCTCCCGCGCTCGGCGTTCGCGAATTAAACTCGCGTGTCGTAATTGTTTAGTCATATATTAAGCTGGCCGATCAAGCTGTTCCGCGCGCATCTCTTTTCTGGAAGGAACCCGCGGTAATTACGATTCAGCGGAGGTAAAACCAGCAATTACTTCTAACGAGGCCGCGCTGAAACTACATTCTTTCACGTGTAAGCAACTACGATCTATGTAATCCGCAGGTATACACACCGCGTTTAATTAGATATCAAATAGCGCACAGATAAGCTGCGCGCTTGTTCCCGAGATCCCCGTGTCACTGTAACCGACATTATTTCTCGATATCTGTGCGTATCTATTTCGTGTATCGTCCTCTCTCTCTCTCTCTCTCTGTTCCTCTCTCTCCTTCTCTCTCGGCGATGTCTATTCGGACGCCGTCACGATCGTATTATACGGATCGTCGCGGCCGGAGGTCAGCGGTGTCAACGAGTTAATTCCTCGAGCGACCGTCACGCCATTTTTACAGAAAGGTGGCTTATTTACTTAGCGCCACAATTGCCGCCCTCTTTTGTGCCTTTTCTCGCGTGCCGGCCTTAACAGAAACGTTTCATCTCTCGAGATCCCGTCTCGCCACTTCGAAGATAACCTATTTTCGAAACGTCTGAAGGCACCGTCTGATGCGCCTGATAATACGAATTCATTGTGTGCCTTTCGTTCTGTCTGTCTCACTATCTGTCTCTTCGTGTCTGATAGCGCGCGAGCGTTCACGATGACTAATCACGCGGTTAATCACCGGCGGAAAAGCTGGGAACGTCTTTTTTCCCGTGCCTTCCAATTTTCAGCATGGTCGTCGGACATACATCGTCGCCGAGAGTCTCTAATATTCGCGATGGCCACTTTTAATCAGCCGATGGGTGCGCCCGCAATTATACGCGAAACGTCCGATCCTTGCCGGGGATCGAGGAGCGGTGTCCTCTCATGCAGCGGCGACGCTGCGCTTTTCATCTCTCTCCGGATGTCGCGTGAAATCAGAATTTTTTCTCCTCCGCGCAGGTCGGTCCCCAAAACCTATTATTATTCAACGAAGCTCATCTAAAACGGTGCTTAAAGCAAAGCCTTTCACGTGCTCGGATTTTTCATCAGCGGATTCTCATCTCTGCATCGCCGCATTTTCTGACCCGGCACGGCGTTATCTTCGATTTTTCCCTTTAATAACGAGCTCAATATTGTTGATGCATTCCTGGAATTTTACGAATTGTCTCTCGGCCGCCTCGCCGGCGAGGACGCGACGATGGGAAAAATTGCAGCGGCCGGGAAATGGGAATTTCCGAGGGACAACGGCGAACGCTATTCTTCATTGCTGTGTGGTTCCCTCCTCCTTCGAAGACGTTCGCTCGGGCACATCCGCTTTAAAAAGCGTTCCGTGTTCGACCAGCGCGACAGGCAGACGTGACAATTAGACGTTCCAATTTTCGTCCGTATGCTAATACCGCCGCAGATTTCACTCCGCGCCGGAGTAGAAAAGCAAAGAGCGAAACCGAATTCAGGAAAGCCGGCACGTTCGCTCGACAGCGAGCGCGATCTGCGTTCACGAGCGCAATCCTTCTTTGTGGGCTCTCTCGTAGTTGCTGATAGGAATGATGGAGGAAATTATTGACGTAAGAATCAAACCAGGTAGATAAGCACGGGAAGAAACCAAGAGTCTTCTACAGCCCGAGTCGGGATTTTGACGTCACTCTGACGCTCTCAAGGATAGTTTGCGCTTACTTAGGCAGCCTACCAGACCGATAAAAACTTTGATACAACATTGATGCTTTTTAATCATCTCTCTCGAACCTTTAATTCTACGGATTGAATTTTTAACGCTACCTTCATCATCCTATTTTAATACTAAAACAGCGAAAACGAAAATTTAAGACATCAAAGTCAAAGTAGGGGTTTTATTATGTTATTAGAATTGAAATTGAACCCGTTTTACTATTTTAGTTCCTATTATGTTGTAGAATTAAAGGTTTAAAACATAAAGCGAAAATTTCAACTCGGGGCGTCCTCTTGAATTCTGAATTTTTCGACAATTGAAGCGACCGGTCCGTTTCTTCGACTTGTATCCGTAACAACCCGGGTTTACAGGTCGACGATCGATTCAGTATCGATAATTAATCATTCGAGTCGTTCGACTTAGTAATCAGTAAATTTTTCATTGATGTGCGAAGAAGAACCGACGCTACATTAGCGACGAATCTATATGATATTTTATTAATATCGTGCCGATGTATAGTCGACATTTATACAGCTATATAGAGTGTCCCGGTCGAATAGGGACAAGTTTCGTGAGGGCATAGAACGAAGTGAGGTGAACAAAAGTCTTTTGCCATTTTGCAAACAGCACGCAAAATTTCGAGTTATTAATTAAAGAAGTCTCTATACATGACCGTTTTTAATAATTAATAACTCGAAATTTTACGTGTTGTTTGCAAAATGACAGAGGACTTTTTTTACTCACCTCAACCCGTTCTACGCCCTCACGAAGTTATCTCTGTCGGCCTAATTTCGAACATTCCGTATCTAGCTATTTATGTGACACGAAAACATGAGAAGTTGACCGATTATTGGCGATCTAATCGGTCCCTAGTCCGCTATCATATCCAAGTTGAAAAGTTGCACACGTACCTCAACTTGATGTGGATATGATATAAAGTAGATAGATAACGAATATAGATCGTCAACGTCTACATAATATCTTCTGGATGTCACGACGAAGTCTTAGAAATATCAAATATCGAAGATTGTCGATCTCGACATGATTTCGATCGGATTTCTCATCGACTTTGACACGTAAAGCGGGGAGGTGTTTGGGCGTCAGCTTAACATTATGTTCTCAACGATCGTGCGAGCGATACGTTATCGCGCTCGCAGATAATGCAAACAATGGTGCAGTGTCATTAGATAATCTTTTAACCCCACGTAGGAGGTGCGGTTATTTTTCTGCATGGTGTTATCAGGCGCGAGCGATTAAACATCATTAACGAGTCCGCCCGCTAGAAACGCGCAAAATGTCTCGCCCTCGCTCTTCCGTCGATACGGCCGCGTTTCTTCTTTTTTTCACCCTCCTGTCGTTGATACCCGCCGGGTTGCGCGACAACACGTCGCGAATTCGCTGTCGCCTCTTAAAATTCCCCCGTCCCGCGCGCGTTCCACGCCGTTGTAATTCCCGGCCGCGGCGGTGTTCGTTTAGCGGCGCTGTTTGCGTATTCAACATTCAGAGTCAACAGTTGCCTATGCGCCGCTTTAAATACGTGATTTCAGTTCGGCCCGAGTTATGCGCGCGCGGTAAGCAGCTTAAGTTCTCTCATCGTGCGGAAAAAGGAGGAAAGCCGGGGAAAAATATCGGAGCACGCGCGCGACTATTGCGCTCTCGCCGCGCGTATTTCGCCTATTCCGTCTCCGCCGTCTTCGCGCTTGTTTCGCGCGCGTTTTCTCGCGCATCGGAAATTGAATGTCGACGAGAGAGACGTCGTCGTCACATCGCGTCCCCTCATTGCGTGTATTCTTCTCAAAAAAAGCACAGGGGGAAAAATGCTAGGTTTAAGGGAATAATTACTCGCCGATATTCCTCAGTGAAGCTTTTAGGATTAAGCGAATAATCAAGTAAATAAAATTAACTCGAATTAAGTGAATTTCGCTTGGATCGTGCAAATATCATCCGAGCCAAGTAAAAGTGTGGGTTCAGGAGTATCGGAGTGGTTGTTCACTCTAATCTAGCATCTTTTTTCTGCTGAGGAACGCCCATAATATGGATGTAAATATTGTCGCGACGTCGTTCCCGGAAATTTGCGCGCGCGCGCGCGATGTTGCACCTTCGCGGATGATAATTTCGCCCGGCTGAGATAAGGCGATATTTTCGCGTGTTTACGCGTCACACGTTCGCAACGTGTTTGCAACGTGAATTGTGGAAAAATGTAGCCGCTTTTTGAACGACCTGCGTTCTCACGAGTTCCAGCGCGCCAATAAAGATGGTTATACAGCAATGTATAAGGAAAAAACAAAGTTACAAGAGGCTGTCACAGAACGGAATATCAAGTAAGATGACGGCGCTTCTTACGGTGATATATACGGAGAAGGTGTGCGCGCGTGTTGTGGGGTTCGCCGGCCTTGAATTCTTTTATATCGCTTATCTCAAGCGCTTTAAATATTGTTTGCAAGCGGCGGTTGTATTACAAGATATTGCGCTCGAACGTGACACAAGCCGAGTTTGGAGGTTATGTCGCTAATAATAGTTAACGACAATAATTGTCTCTCTCGAGCTACGATAGCGAGATGATGGTTCTCGTCAGCGAGAGTCGCCGGCAGATTCCGAGGAGGCGAGCCTGTGATCGCGATGTGATCGCGCATAAATGAATTTTGCAGCAGCTCCTCTTTAGATCTGACCTTACGAGATAAACAGAGTATTCACAGTCACGAGGCTCGCAATAATCGATAGCGGGCAGCACATAATGCGCTCTCTCTCTCTTTCTCTCTCTACGTGTCTCCGTTGACGGTTAACATTTCAGTTTTCGCAATACTTCGGCGTCTCTTCGCGCGACTTTCAGGCTCCTCGTAGTTTCATTACGTGGCTTAATCTACGCGATGACAATTAACGTAGTCTTACTTGCGCAAGATGCAGCTCTGTCGGTTTAATCGGCACTGTGCGAGCTGCTGTTGCTTCGAAGACCTCGACGATACGCCCACGATAGCGCAACGGTGTGCACACTCATTCTCATTAATGCGTCGATTGTCGAAATGAATTTCGCATCTTTGGCGTTCGCAGTAGAAACATGTACTCGTATTTCACGCAGATACCAATCATTTCTCGTGAACTTTTTGCTTAGGTTAAAAGTGACCGAGAACCTTCGATCAATAAAGAGAGGATGCTCTGTCACTGGCACTGATAATGCAGTAATCTGTGTGAGCGATAAACGATAGCGAAAACGAGAACGTACCCTGTAAGCAAAAAACGTTAAATCGATTTTTCAAAAGATGATTGATTTTATGTGGATTTTATAAACATTTTGACATAATATTTTATGTTTTTCAACCGTTACTTGATAATGTTGTATTTTTTAATATTATGGCGTAGAAACATTATTTTTTATGTTTCGGTCAGATACTGCCGGCAATGGCAGTAACGTTGTATACAACATTAAGAACTACATGTTTGAAGACACGTTACATGTTATAAAATATCATTGTAATAATGCTGTGTTAACCTACTTACTAAGGGTAGCCTTCTAGATACCAGTAACCGATAAAGCAGTCGCGGGAACAGCGCCGTGGCTGTTCGAAGATTAACTATGAACTGATGCTATGAACGAGATAAAATTAAGCTCTGAGTAAATTTGCATGTTTGAGAAACTTGACGAAGAAACGAAAAAAAAGAAAAAATTACTAGTCTTGAGTTCTGCTTCGCTGTATGTACCGAAATGTATCGGCCGGGCACGAAATCGATGCACAGTGTGTCTGAGTATGTGTGTAATGTTGTAAAAATAGTAGACCCTTTATTAAAATACAAATACAAAATCGTACGATTTTGCCCGATGGATCGCGCCTCACGTACCTTTGCATATTTGGACACTGAAGCGTCACAATGCACTCTAGCACGTGATGATTGCACCGTTGTGAGGTCACACTTAGGATTGGTAACATATGAAATACCGCCCCGCCCACCCTTTCCCTTATATGGTCGGATACCTTAGAGATTATGTTCCGACGTTCGTCGCCAGTATAGAAAATGTATAGTGTACGTGACGTAAACTGTCGATTTTTAATACTGACGGGGTGAATTTCGGAACACAATTAACGCTTAACCTAAACGTCATTGGCACTCGTAAATGGCTGCTTTTGTACAAACACGCGTAAAGTAACGCTGAATATCACAAATTCCGCCGTTCACAACTTATCCAGTAATGATGCTGTAACGAAGAAAAGTATTGGCACGGTAAACTAACTCAGGCGCGACGCCGGTCGGCCTCGTATCGGCCTGTTGAAAATTTTTACGTTAGATTCTCACGGAAATCTACGGGGATCCCTCGTGTGAATCCATATAGGACAGGCCTGCGGCCGGTCCAACTATGGAAAAGTACGAACCGGCTGCAAGCTTTGCATAGGATATTAATAACCTACATAGGAATCCATACGGTGTGTGAAAATCCACACAGGAATCCACATGGATTGTTAAACCTAGGACCGAGGTTTTCGGCGCAAATTCCCAGAGGTTATCATAGGATGCCATGTGGACTTCCTACGTGGATTCCCAGCTGTCTTTTTTTTCTTTTTCAACAGAGCAACGCGTAATCAGGTAGCGACGAGAAATGAATCGCTAAGGAACACATATTCGACGTTTTCCCTTAATTTCACTGGACGCGAAGTTGGCTGCGTTCGGTAAAGAAAAAAGCTCGGTGAACGCTCGTTGATTATTGTCTACGATTGGAGTATTCTTTTAGATCCTCTATAGATCTAGCAGAATATACTAGTCAGAAGCAGTAATAACTACAAAGCGCTCACTGAACTATTTTCTCTTTCTCTCTCTCTCTCTCTCTCTCTCTTCTGAATGCAGGCACTGATTTCACATCGATCGTGCATGTTCTCTGCGAAAAAAATAAGCAAGAAGCTACAACGTTATCCTGAAGCTTACGGTGCGCAACAACGCCTATACCGAACAATGATAAACACCGAATTCGCACAATAACACTTAATTACAATATCAAGGCACGCCACAGATATCCGTTCCGCATGAAAGCAGCGTATTTTTTCGCGTATCTACGTGTTTAAATGCCGATAAAATTCGTTGTTTCGCGCGGGTTTCTCGACGAATAATAACTATCTAACTGCGATTCGTCGCGTTCACACTTTTATGAATAAATTTGAGTAGAAAGATAAATTCATTTTCACACCATGTTGCCTCCGTGTTTCACACATTATCTTATAAAGCTTTTTGTACTATTTTTCTTTCATTCAACTGCGTTTAATTACGGCGTTTTCTCGTTGATTTGATATCGGCGGTGATATCAATAACGTATGGATATATTAATTCACCTACGAATTACGATTAAAGCCGTTTGATTGACTTATCTCAATATATTAAAGCTCTACTCACATCTGTCACGATGAATTAACAAAACGGCCCCGGATCGATTTGAAATTTGCAGCACGATTTGCCTTTCTGATCAGTCCATTGTGTTCCGATTGTGAGCACACGCGTGTGACAGCAGCCGGTTTAGTAAACAGATGAGGAATCATTAATTAACAAGAGCTTCGCCACGATCGTCAATTTCGTCAGTCTTAGTATATAACGTCGAAACTTGAATATTATTCGACACTTGAATATCATTCTTCGTTCTACACCGTACGTCACGTGGGAATGTAACAATCACAATGAATTCGTCGTTCGCAAAGCAAGTAACACCTCGAAACGACTTGAAGGATAAGATTTTCGATTTCGTCGATGAGGAATATCGATTCGATCCGTAATTTTCTGTGTGTTTAGCGCTACTGAAACTCATTGTCGCACAGTAAAACCAAAGCGACGCTTCGATCTGTACGCATCTATATCTGTACAGTGCTCTGTACTTGCAACATGCACTATTTGTGACTTATTGATATACAATCATGCGAATTGATTGATGCGCATATGTATATCGAATCGTTACAAACTAAGATCACTTACGATAAAGTGTACTCGGTAACTTTGTCATACACACACATTCTTTCTCTCTCTCTCTCTCTCTCTCTCTATACAAATGTCTCCTTCTTTTTTCTTTTTATACCGTATCCAAGTGCAAATATTTATATCTCGAGATAGTCATCCACACGAGTCGCTGCAGTCGAGCCAAGCACACTTGAGAATCCACTGGAGAACGCACCTTTGAAGAAGTTCTTCTACGATATTTCGAAGTTGGTCCACGATTGCACATTTTTGTCTCCTACGTGATTTAAACGCGTTCGTGAAAAAGAGGCCTCCCGATGAGGGGAAACGCTCAGTAGAGCTTCGCGTACAAACGACGATCGCTCCTGACGTTAGCGTCCTCGTTGGCGGCTATCTTATCCATGTACACAGTTTCCGATTTTTTCTCGAGAGACTCGTCGATCGGCTTCTCCGGCGCGGTCTCCTGCAAAACATGCTTCTTACACTTTGTTCGCGAAGCGTTCTCCGTTCGAATTACGTTCGGAGAAATTGAGCAAACGATTCCACGTACTATTATCGAAGATATACGTTGCCTCTTTACGAGATACAAGAGCGTTACGCCGCAAATCAAGCATAATCCAATAAGTGTCATAATTATGCCGGTGCATAACATCACTGTTGGAAGCGCTAGCAATTGTTTCAAGCCCGACGCTATCTCCTTGTTGATTTCGACGTTGAAATCGAACCAAAAGATCGGGAAGTAGATCTTGGGCACATCTTCGAAGAGCCTAAACAGACACAACGATACTTTCTCAGTCTCCTCGGCCGTCACGATTGATCGTTCGTTCAAAATTAACGAGGCGTCTTTCTCTATCGCTCTCGCAACATTCAAGTATATATTTTCACGCTGGTTTGACGCGCGAGAGACACTTTTCTTTCTTATTGCTCGAAACATACTTACGACACAAGCTCTGACGATTGCAGAAGAACATTAATTTGAAATTTAGCTTTCACTTCCAAGGGAATCCCCGTTATCTGGAACATCAAGAATGCGACTTATTCGGGAAATCTCATATTTACAAGGTGGGACGTGCGAATCGTACATGCGTGAGGAGTAAATCGAAAGGAAATAACGCGGGGAAAGACACGTCCCGAAAAATCAAAATCTGTTGAAATTCCAAAACTGGGATAATTTCACCGAAAAGCCGTCATATCGAAATCGAAATACCCAGACGGCATTCCGAAATGCAATTTTTCCGGAGCAACATGATTATTCCAAGGAGGAATTATCATCTCGGAAACAATACAGGTGTATTAATATCTACCTATTTGAATACTTTCTTGCTGTACTCAAATGAGTAGGTACTAACACTTGTACAACGAGACAGTTTCGATATTCCGGGAGATTATCCCGGTATTCGGTTTTCGGAATGGCAACTTTTCGGGACAGTAACGTGCCTTCGATATTTCGAGGAATTATCCCGGTATATTCAGTTCTCGGGATGATTGTCCCGCTTCTCGAGTTTCGGCATTTTGATATTTTGGGACGCAACGCATGTCCGTCACAAAGAGCGCGAAGTTGCACGAGCGACACGCGCCGTTCGTACAACGGCGTGTGTTATTATCGAGCGACCGCATCCTCTGCGCTCGACAGCTTGGATAAAAGGCGATAGAATGATATTAGTATCTTGACAATAGCAGCAGCGGGGTGACTGACCGTTGTTATTTCGAACGTGGCGGATTTATCGCTCGCTCTCGCGCTCCGACACCATCCATAGGACAATCATCACTTACGGGCTCGAGAGTGATGGAGAAGCTGTGTTCCTCGTTCGGGCTCAGCCCTTCGATCTGGTCGAGCAGGATAGGGTCGCTCTTGTAAAAATGAGGTAAACTAATGAAGATCGGTGCGTCGTAGCGGCACGCAGACACGTTCATCAGCCCGGACGGCGTGCACTCGCCGTTGCAGTAACAGTGACCCATGTTGACGACATCCGGGTCGTCGTCAGGTAGCTCGTCCGTCTCCTCGGACGAGCGTTCTTCGCTGGAGCTCGGGCTCTCGGTGGTCGTGACGGGCGGCTCCGTCGTGAAGTCGCTCGTGTGCTCGGCCGCGAAGAAGTCCTCCGTCGTCGTGGTCGGCTCGAAGTATTTCGCCTGCTCGTGCGGGTAGCGTCGCCGCGTCGCGTTCCCGAGGGTCTTCTTGTCGATCACATATCGGTAACCTTCGATGCCCAAGCGCGAGACCGTCCGCTCGTATTCATAAATTAACGGCCTGCAATCAGTGATAGATGGACACTCATCCGGGGATTTCACCCGGGGATACGTACGGATTTTGCGCGCGATAATGTCGCGCAATGTCTGTTTCGCAACGAATCGTCACCGAACGCGGCTTTAACGCCGATGCATCGACGAAACGACGCGCAAATGGCTTTAAGCGGATTATTTGGAGCATGCGAGCGTACGAACCGCCGGTAATTATGCAACGTGCTCGTTAGCGTCGTGTGTGATCGCGCGTAGATAGAAAGAAGATATAATCCAATTACAACGTTATCTGTATAATTATCTGTACAACAACTAGAAACGAACGAGGATTAAATCGCTCGGAAGAGCGCTCGTACGTGAATCTCTCGTCGCTTTGAGAAAAAGATTTTAATCTCTCTCGTCGAGTGTCGCTCGATTTGCTATCGATTGGCAGCACGTGCGGGCGGAAATGCTCCTCGTTATCTCCGCAAAAGCGGGCGGGATTATTCACCCACCGGCAGATGTCCGTGCTGAACAAAACGATGTCGTCCTTCGTCCTGCCGGGCGGCCAGAATTCACCCGCGCTGCCTTCGACGATGTTGCACGGGCTTCTGTAAAACTTTATTGTGTCTCTGTTGTTCCACTTCCTCATTATCCCCAACTTGGAGATGTCGTCCACGCCGGTCTCCATGTTGTACAGTCCTTCCATCTCGTACGAATTATTCCTCTGCGCATAATCGAGGGATTAGCATGATGATGAATCGCGAGACCGGCGCGGTTTGATCTCCCGTGACTCTATCAATACCTTTTCAATGGTAATTTTGTCTCATCGTCAATATTATATTTCTCATCAATCTCCGTTAATCTTTCTTTTATCGGCAATAAGGCAATCGAAAAACTGGTTTCTCTACTCGCGACAAGTTAGCCATATTATATATTTACGAAAACCGGTTTCAACGAGTGTGATACATTCGTGAAGTTACGTTGACGGATCGAAGGTTAAAGCCGAAATACTTCCGCGCGAGCTATAAGTTGTTTTGTATAGCGCTTGTGTCTCATATATAATGCATATAATATGTACTCGTCATGTTTCATTCACTACCGTGGCGGCCTACATAGGACCTCTTTCATTCATTACCAATTTAAACTCGGTTGTACGAACACTCCAGCATCGACCGTAACGCCGTTGTACTCGCTCGTTATCCAACCAGACTTTAGACTTCCACGTTACTTGCACTCGATGTTAACTGATAAACAATCTGTTCCCGGAACAGCTTACTTCGCGTTCCTGCGTATATGGCTTTCGATATCACACCTGTGATATCGAAGGCCATATTCTGTTTTCGACGTTAGCACTTGAAACATTGCATTTGAAATTGTCGAAGGAAGAAGAGGGACTTGTAAGTGATTAATGATACAGCGATAAAACAGAGCGGGAGGTTCTGCCTGGCCTCTCGATATTTAACGAAACCAAACAGGTTGTTGATTTATAATGATGAATGTGAAGGACGGAAATTGAAAAGGAAAGCGCGCAAGAATGTGGACGACTGATCGTTAAATGGCGTCCTCGGAAATAATGTATACGTATGTGACGCCGCCTTGAGGATGTCTCGAGGTAGTTCTTTATCCTCTCAGTGGAAATGGCTCGCCATATGAAAAAAAATTCACCTCAACCTGACGGATCGTACCATATAAAACCAGCCGAAACGATCGTAAAGCGGCATTTCAGTATCGCTGGCCAACATCTTGCCCATAGTGAGCAGATTGTCCTCGTAGCCCACGAAAAGCAATTGCTCCACCGTCTTCTTGATGTGGACATCCGACCCAGACAGGAGTATTGATAAGGATTTCTGCAAACTGTAATCCCAATAGCGGATTTTGTGCGCTGCCGACTGCAAATAAGACGTAGATGCATATGTAACATCTGACACCTGAGTCAGTCTGAGACTCTATCTATGTGCGTATTTTTTCTTTCTTTTATACAGGGTAGCCCAGAATAATCACAATGCGAAGTGCACCGGGAGATTCTTGATACCAAAACGAGATTCTCGGATACGAAGTAACCTTTCGTTTGATTAAAATTCCGTTCGAATAATAACTTTTGGATGAGATTCACGGTTGTCGAATAAGTCGCGCGTGAATCAGAAGCGACGGGGGAAAATATGAAATATCGTATAATTCGTGTTTTTCATGTATTGAGATAATACTTGATCTAAAAAATTATTTATTCGTCGTTTAACCAGTTAACTGTGGCGATCTCTTTGCAAAGCGCCCACCAGTGTGTGTCGCGATAATCAAGCGAGTTAGCTCTCAGGAAGTTATAAATCCAACTCAAATTATTTATAATTTTCATTTGTTTGTTTCATTTCGTCTTGACCTCTAAACATTTTACCCATATTAAAATTTACGAATATAATTTAGTTTTCGCCAGAATTACAATTTAAATATCAAATTGTAACAAAATTTTACGCATGACGGATATAGTCGTCATGACACAAGATTCTGCTACATCTCCATGACGGATATAGTCGTCAAACACACTTAACTGGTTAAATAAATTCTTCGATCTTGAGCGAATTTATTTTTAGTCATTTTTCCAGTAGCATTGGTAAGAAGTGAAAATTCTATTTTCGAATATTATGCATATTATGCATAGTTACGCAATAAAATGTTTAGTGAAATAGAAAAAACAATCCACCGATTCACGTGATTATATTCACATTTTATAGCTTTGGGGAGTGGCTTTCATTTAAAAACTTCGTTCAAATGGGATTCTAATAATCGAAAAGTTGCTTCGTTTAATATCAAAAATTTCGCGGCACACATACAGACCGATTATATCTTTGTTTTCTTTCATTTTCTTTTTTTTTTATTTACCTTGAGAAGAATTGAGGTAGCGAAAATGTATTTTGACAATTGCGTGCTAATATCCTGGGATTATGCACACAATCATTCTCTTTTAGTCTCGCAAACGATATTAAGAATCCAGTTTATTGTATTGAGTATGTGACAAAAGATGCAATGAGGCGGCTCACCACAGCGACGACGTTCAGATGGATGATGATGTCGCTGAGACTTCCGTTGCTGTGCTCCGGATCAAAGTTCCAAGATCGTCGTTGAAAATAACTGACGGTGTTGTTTTCGGGATGAAACGTGATATTATTCTTTTGTTTTATCTCCCTGAAATTTTCAGTTGTAAATCTGATTACTTTTCTTCCTCTTTTTTCGGTATTTCATCTAACAAAAATTTCGCCGGGGCACGCTTTACGCATAGTTTATCAATTTCTCAATCAGAGAGACAAGTAATATTGACTCGTAAATTGACTCGAACATTACAATGTTCGCATAGAAAAAAAAAATTAGTAACAGTAGCGTTCTGCGTTAGCGTTCCCCTTAAGTTATTTTAATCGGTAAGTCGCTCATTGACTAATGCCCCGTGAATTACGCGCGAGCACGCCTTGGGCACAATTTGTCGCTAGTTGCCGAAGTTGATTATTCGAACGTGATTTAGACACTGACCTACATGTTTTGCTTATTAGTATGAACGGAACAATTGCTGTGCAATCGTATGGAGTGTACGTACGCAATGATGATGACTGTGCCTTAATGTGCACTTGTTATCAAAGACGCAGTCTTTGTTGTATAACCGATGTAAGATTAGAATCGGCCACGCGATGTTAGAAGAAAAGTTTACTGTTAAGGAAAAACAGAGGAGAGAGAGAGAGAGAGAGAGAGAGAAAGAGAGAGAGATAAAAGGAATACGTGAAAGAGTAGACGTATATAAATATTCTTTTTCCTAATTGGAAAAAAATCGTAGTTTGCATAACAGAATGCGGATTAAGTGAAAACTATACGACGAGAAACAGGATTTCTAGTTGTCGCTACGGAAAATATTCGGCTACTTGTCGAAACTTAATTAAAATAAGTGGAAATATTTGGTTGATTTGAAACCTAAACAGTTCTCATGTTTTTACAACCGGATCCTCTGGTTCCAGCAGAAGGCCAACGAGCCGGGTTCGTTTTTACGCAGTAATTATCACAATTCAGTTGAATAATCGACGCAAAGAGATCGACGTGAGGTGGATGAATCATGGAATTCAGAATGCGAGAAAATTTCAGAGTGCGGTCGGATAGGATTTCGTTTCATCGTGTCGATCCGTAATTCTCTTGATTTCGCGGCGGTTCTGCCGAACGGTTAGCCGAGAGATCACAACTCTCCGTTTACTTTCCAACAAACGATATTACATCCGTCATCACGGGCCGATCATTTTATTCGCGGCGAAGCCGTAAACGATAGTCACAGCGGCCAAATGAAAAGACTCTCTCTCTCTCTCTCTCTCTCTCTCTGTCAGGTCAACATCTCAGGGTTAAACCCTTTCTTTTTCACACCGGCGTAAAATTCGTGATAAGGTGAACCAGTCGTGGACGAAGGACACAGTGGCTACTGAAAATTTATACGTCCGCGAGGAGGAGTCGCGACACTTGTTTCGTTGCAGAGTAGAGGTCCACGACCAAGGAGAAAGTAATTAGTCAATTACTTCACATGCAGTGTCGCCTACGCGTCGCGCACGGCCGGAACGTTTCATCATTCATTAAGAAGTCAATGTGACGGGGTTAACTATTTCTTTTTCATCGCTATTAGGTTTTGTTATCGCGCTTCGACTCGCGCTTCGCGAGCCTGATTAGAATAATCTTATTTTTGTTTCGCGCTTTGTAAGCGAAAATTAGGGGGAACTCCGCGCACTTATGAATATTCTCCGTTCACCTGACCTGCGATAACACGTCACGTGGATAAAAGCAACGACGATACTTTGACCGCGCTGTTAATTTCTGCTCAATACCGCCGCCGTCAGTTTCAACGCGAAAGGAAGGTCGCCCTTCGTTTGCAGGCGTCGTAAGTTTATAATCATATATTTAATTACTTATCGTGTTCGTGTACTGTAATTTATTTTGAACGGTCGTGTTTCATTGGATGATAGTTAATAAACAGCATTTGCGTCATGTTTTCTTTCTTTTAAGCCTTTTCTTTTATGTTTTCTTTATAAGTTCTCTAAATTGGACACGATCCTGCCAATCATTTGCTATAATATGTCATCATGATGCGTGTTTTTTGTTTTTAACTCAAGAACTAGTATAAAATGGATACATATTTTCCTCGATTCATAGTCGCGATAATTATCAATATTGTAATTTTATCTCGGTACTACTGGTGAATCGATTGCGTCGAAGCTTGTTATCAAGGTTAATAACTAGGGGAAAAAACTCGATACTGAATAATGTAAAATGTAATTAGATTATCGCTATTTTTAACATTGTTGTGTTTAGAATTTTCGTCGACTCATTCGATTCCTGTGAAACCGATTCCTGTGAAACCGATTTAGCGACAATATCGTGTTTGTTTCAGCACTTTCACATTTAACTGCATGCAACTTCTGCAGCAATATATTTGTATCGAATGCAGTATTAACAAATAAATAAATAATAAAGAATTAATTTGTGCAGAATCGACCAGAACACGAACGCGTCATGTCGGGGCAGACTCGGCCGTACGGCCGTAAGGCCCGTATCAAACTACGGATTAGGATTTAGATCGGATTGAAATTTGACAAATCAGCCCTAAATTCACCAAACTCAAGCTTAGTCGAACTTATTGGTTGAACCTCAATCCGATCTCAATCCTGATCCGTAGTCTAACACGTAAAGGGTTAATCGATACGCAGGTGAAAGTTATTCGAGCTCGTTTCATGCACGAGTTTAACAAGTGCATGCGAGGAGATCGATTTATATAAGCCTTGTCGATGCACAGGGACACGCGTCTTCGTTTCGCTCTTATTTCGATCGGCAGGATTTTATTGATCGGACGATATCCGGATATATTCGGGCGAAGGTCTTCTACCTGAAGGTGTAAGGGCCAACTTGAACGAAATGCGGCTTCTTTCCGTGTACTCGCAATTCCTGCGGGTTGGTCCAATTGAAGAAGTATATGTGCAAGCGCATCGGTGGGAGGTTGCTGGTGTCCTTCCATATGCCGAAGCTCCTTGAAGTTGGCGTGAGAGCTAAACCCTGGGAATATAAGGTGGTTTAATAATAGAAAGTCGCGTGTCAGGGGAAAAAAAGTGAATGACGTTAACCGTGGCGAACGTCTGTTTGGATTCAATCAAAGCGGAGTTTTAATTTTTTTTTAAACTACGTACAATTTTCCCGCACGAATGTTATCTCGTTTCAAGATTTATTATATAAATGGCTGAACGATTAACGTCTGTCGCAATTAGCGAACAGTTGTAGTCACTAATGTTGACACTAGCGTTATGAAGCGAAAAACATATTCTTGTTATCGTTAGCAATTAGATTTCCCGAGTAAATTTCAAATATTATATCATATTCACATGATCATTCAAATATATTCTAAATACGTTTTTGCCACATTTCTACTACTAATTCTGTTAGTTTTGCGCGAATAAATTAGTAGAAGCTAATTCTTGCGATAACGTGATCTGGCGAAATTGAAACCGTTACGTGCAGTCGACGCGTTTTAAGTAAACAAGACGGGATATATTTACAAGATTAGATTGACGTTAAGACACACCAACCGATTGTAGTAATTGGCTGGTTTACAACCGAATAATAAATGCGATCCTGACCGGCCTGAGCGGAATCCCCGATAAAAATTCCGTGGTTTCTTACGCGGTGAAAAAGATACGGAAAGATAAACGATGGCATGAACGGAACACGAGGAGGCGATATGAATAGCGCGTTCCTCCGTTCCAATCTTCATCATCGGCGGCGAGATTATTCGCGCGCTGTGTGTTGTCGGTGAAACCGTTCGTGACGGGCCGCGCGATACAGAGGAACGCCAATTAATGGGACAATCGGCCACTTTTCCAATCGGGCCGGGACTAGCGCCGAGACAAGTGTTCAGTCTGCAAATGCATGGTATGTGCCCAACGAGCGATCTTACTTCGTTGCAAACGACCTTAGCAGTGCGATGGGTACGGATTTCACGCGCCGACCCGACACGGTGATACATTTTCCGCGCAACGCGCGCAATCGCAGGATTCCTTTGGGAAAAATCCGATGAGCGACGATCAAGTTTGCCGAGTCACGAACTGAGTCGCCATTTTGCATTGCAAAACGCGAACTTAAAAAATATAATCACGACGGCGGGGAAGACAATGATAACCCAACAAGGCAAGGCTATCCGCGGCGCGAACGGAACGAAAATACAGAGCGAGATGTGATTCGTGGACGATGATGTGTTCCATATTTCCTGCACGTTATGAAATTTATCATTTATATTTTAATAGAGTGAGTCGACATTGATGATCGCAATAATAAGCGATGAGTATAATATGCAGGAAACATCGCGTGAAATATATTATATGTTGAAAAAAGGGAGGAAGTTAAAACTTTCGTTTGCATTGATAATATAGTTCGTGAACAAATAAGTTGTGAATTTATTGTGTAATTGCGAATTATCGAGCCGTTATTTTGCGACGTATTTATCTTTCTAATGAGATATCTAAAATTACCAACAAAGATATGTCTTAAATAGTCATATGACACGATGACAACGCAGAAGCGCTGTGAATAAACACTGCTTCTTGAAACATTTGTTCTTGCAATGCTTCTGATGTTTTGAGTTTCGTTGCAAAATATATGTTTGACAACAACTTGTAAAATTGGGAATTTTACTGAAAGTTTCTTCTGAAATATATAATTGTTTGAGGAAATTAAAAGCCGCATATATTATGAAACACATACGTGTACACGCACATTACACATTATTACTATGTTATAAATTGTATCACTATTATCACATGAATATAGTTTTAAAGGTTTGGAGAAAATCTGGATCTTTCAATTTCTCCACAGGTTTTTTCGGTTTCTTTCCGAGCAAGAATTGAAAACAGCGGTTTTTTTAAACTGTATATATGAATTTCATATAATTACTGAACAATTGATAGTCATGATTTCGACATAACGCTGACTGGGCTCTTCAGCCGTGTGTATTTGTGCCATGTTATCATCGTCGTAGGAAAAAACTGTGTTGAACATCATGCCATATCGCTTGTGTATTTTACTAGCAAACGCTGTAAAAATGACTTTACGTTTGGAGATCGCGCCGTACTTCGAGCATCTCAAGTTATTTTTCATCTTAAATTCGTCGCGGTTTAGCAATAACCTCAATGCTCTAATCACGTTCTGTGATGAAAGAGATAATGTTTTCATCGTCGACGTACTCGTGATCGCATCCCGGGAGACACGTTGCCTCGGGTGTTTGGTGTGTGTTTAACGAGGCGACGGTCAAGTTAGACATTCGACAATTAAGCATCCGATGGCAAAATGTCGCACTAGCGCAATCTAACGTGAAAATAGATGCGTTACGAAGTGCATTTTCGCCACTGGTAAATCTCGTCGCTTCGTTAGACGAGGTCTCCTCCGCTCTACAGGTAAACAATCGCTGCGAATCGACATTTGGAGAATCACTTACTTTTTGGAGGATCTGATGAAAGACGGTTGGCCAGAAGGAGCAGAGGGACAAGCCGCAGACCACCAGTAACAGTCCGAAGACACCGAGCCCTAGAGATTTATTGGCCCAAGGTTTCATGGCAACGCGAGTATTTTCTCCGCACGCACTTCTCGTCTCTTCAGCATGTGCACCTTGAACCTCGAATAGTCGCCCTCCTCACGTTGATCACTTCTTTTAGCCTGGCTCAAGCGACGGTCCACGATCTACGGAGTCTGCGTATGATAATAGATCTATCTAATCTACAAGTCGATGTGTCGAAGTGTTTACATAGTCACGTATACGCGCGCGTCACGTGTGCGTGTGTATATGTGTGCGCGCGTTCTTTGATTTCCTCAGGCGGTTTTCTAGTTTAGACCGACCGAGAATGCGTGGGTATCGCCATGAATAGATGACACATCACGCTCAACGAATGCACCGGATCTCTGCGGAATGTTTTGACGGTGTTACTCCCGATTCTGGTACGGAGATACGTGCGGAAAGGTGCGAGAAAAAAAATCAAAATTTCACCGCGAATTTCATCATGGAGTAAAAGAGACGGCTCGATCGCGGTTGTTGTGTTAATCTTGCCTAGTATTCAGATGACCTTGATAACATACGCTTGACACTCTGTGATTACAACGAAATGTCTATCCATCAGATATTTTCCTTTACATTTAACCCTTTGCACTCCAGCCTAGTAATGCATAGAGGCTATTAGTTCCAAGTACATACCTATGATGTAGAAGAAAAATAGAGTCGTTTCAATAAAACAAAATTTTTATTTCTTAGCTATTTTATAACAAAACATATTCTAACTTATATTATAAAAGAAAAACATAAATTTTAGGACTTAAAATTTCTTAAAGTGCCGAGGCAGCAAAACAACCATGTCGCCGCTACGGCGACAGCGGAGTGCAAAGGGTTAAGTAAGAATAAAAGCAAAATCTATGCACATTCTCTACATAGCACATCTAGCACGTTATCATACATAATGTATAAACATATGTATGATCATGAAAAATCACGACTTTTATAATCGTAGGTTCTATTTTCTCGAGAATATTTATCACGTGTTATTACGTAAACCGCGATTTCGCGATCCCCAGGACTCTCATTGAATACATTAGGCATGCGTTTGAGGATCGATGGAATTAATTGAAGCAGCTCAGAGCTTCTCATTTCCGACATCCCCCTTGGCGTAACTATGGCGATATCGAGCGTTTATTAATCCTGGCGATGAAATAAATCAGACAAATGAATAAGAAACACATGATGATTATATTCGTTGCGTAGAAGATTTCTGCACTGATTAGATATGGAAAACGCCGCAGGTCAGGCAACGACTTGTAATGCAAAATGAAACGACGTGCTATTAGTATAAATACTGAAGACATTTTCATTGCTACTACGTGTGCTGCAAATCAATGGTATGGGAAAATGTTTCATCCTTTTGTTCTGTTGAAGTTAAAGACCGTGCCGAAGACGAGGCCAATTACATCGGGAACGCTGATAAGACAGAAATAACAGTTGCGTTTGTTGGGCATGCGTGAACACGCGTGCGCGCATTACGCACTTGTATATTATATGTAACGACAGCGGACTAAAGCGTGTAAGTTTGTTAAAGTCGATCGGTTGTGCACTAACATTATGCCCGATATTTTCGACAATAAGGAAGAGATCTGCGATCGACGCGCTGGATAAAAATTGCAGACTGTTTGCTCGATTCATGGCCATTTCCGTCTCAGGTTCGGATAAACAATCGTGCAGTGATCTATGATTCACGTTATGGATGATTACACACAATGCGGCATTATTATATATTTTAAGAACGATTAACACTCGCGTACAATTAGAAAAATTGCTGATTCTTCCCATTTGCTCATATGTTACAGTACTTTATGCGCTAAAAATAATGCGCATAAAAGAAGGGTGGAAGAGATTGTAAATTCAAATCGATTGACATTAATTTTTTTTTCATTAATCATTACGACCATTATCAGTATCATAACTATGATACAATATATGATAATTGATGATATGTAATGTGGCAGACAGGAAAGAAGTTGCAAATTGCTTAATAATCAAGCTCTTCCGCTATAATTATCGCTGAAAAATTACAGCTGAAAAAAAAATAAAAATAATTGGTTTGAATATATCTGCATTCGCATTTTCTAACGGAGAAAAACTTTGCAACATTTAAATATCGACGTATAAAAAATGTCGTCAATAACGTCAATAAGCGTGAAAAAAAAACCGACATCACTGATCGAGGTTTTAAATTCAAATGTACTGTGTGTAATTATTGCTTAACTAACATATGCTGATGTGCAAGGCGGAAGAATTTCTTGTTTAAAAATAATTCTTCTCAAATTTGTATTCTTGCGGAATTTAATAAATTTGTCCATTTAATTTATAGAGAATCACCAAATCTTCGAAAATTGGTAAATATTTATTACGAAATTGTTCACGTGACATATAGGACTCCGAAGTTTTTTTTTTTTTTTAATACACAAGACGTATTCTTGTGAAATGCGTTACATGCAAATGTAGATTGACGCTTTGAGTGTGTTTGCAGCTTCATTACTGTGTAAGAGAGTTCAACAGGCCAAGCTTAATCTCCGTAAGTCTGATTAGTAGAAAGTATTCCGTTAATGCATAGATTTAATAGAGAATTGAACGACAATGTTACGCAAATGAAGAGGAAAAATTGTAATTTAACGTCGATGAAGTGTTTTGCAATTAGGTACCCCGTATAAATTTATACGGGAATAAACGCTTGTATAAAACCGTCTCAGCCGCTATTTGGCATTCGGACGATACACCGGCTTATGTTGAACTTATCACTGATTGATTTTCATATGTCTCGCCTGAAACGATTTACATATGTAAAATATCCGAGTGCCATTATGCGAAAGTGATGTTCGGTCGAAAATTCCTCTCTTAAAAAAATTATCATCTGTGTTTGCTTTTTCCAGCTGTAATAATTCTTTACACTCGACAAGTGCAGCGATAATGATACATAAATTAATAGTACATTTGATTCCTACGAGAACTGTTTGTCATGTTCGCGATTTCTTTTGTATAATTAATGTTTTTACGATGATTAGTAGCAATGTCGCTTTTTCAATATATGAACGACAATCACGCGAGGTCATTTGATAGTCCGTTCCTTGTTGAACATCAATGCAGTGCGATGATGCTCCGTACCGTTGATGGCAAGTGGCATCTCTTTTGATCTATTATTTTCGATGACGGAGATTCTTCTGTCAACGAGACTAAGTCACTTTATATGATATTTTTCATCTTTCACATGTTAGAAGTCTTAGAAATCTAAATATGCAGTTTACAGAAATACCAAAGAAAATATCAATATATTGAATATAATTTAATATCTTTTAAAATTATACAGGTACGAGTAATTTATAGCAACAAATTTTAGAGTCGGTAAAATATTGAATTTTTTCATTTTTATCGGCTATAAGATAGTCAAGAAATATATTAATATTAAATATCTCTTAATTAATTATTAATCGACTACAAGACAAAAATTGCATGTAAGATATGTGCTATATAATAATAAGTATATAATAATTATAATAATACATAAAATGATAAAATTCCTCTCTTGAAAATGATAGCATAGAACTAAATGAAAAAAACTTATACAGTTTTGACTTAGTGTTTGAAAGATCGAGCAATAAATCAAGTAATCGATTGGTTTCTATGTGTAATTTTAACGTGTGCGTGAGTAAATTTTTATACGAAAGTATTAGAGAAGTAAAAGAGGAGTTTTTTGATCAAGAACTTAAAAGTTCCGAAAAATCTCTTTACATTTTCTTGAAATTTCGAGTTTTTTAAATATTTCTGTAAAGTGTATAAGTATCAGGTCAAGATTTGGGGAAATTGCGGAATTGTGAGACCAAGAGTATAATCTTGTATGGCCGAATATTGAATATTTGGAGTAAATGAAACACTTCCGTACATGCTTCGAAAAATCTTATGACAATATATTTCTTGGAAGAATATTTAGAAAGTTACACTCAGAATTCTGACGAGAACTTCAGTGAAATTATTTTGCATTTAATTGTCTCCTTGGTCAAATGTGTAGTAAAACAAGTCTGAAGTAAAACGATTATGAAGATAGTCATTCTCAAAGTTTAAAATAATAACTTAACCTCTTGACATATAATGACGTCTGGGAGACGTCATTCATTTCATGTACCATTGTAGACTTTGATGTCTCCGAGACGTCAAAAACTGTCTCCGGTGACGCCGTGCAGTATATTAGATTATTCAATTATTTCACTTGTGATTATTCAATTGTTTCACAAGCTTGCACATAACTGTTCATTGAGCAAAAATAAATAGTATTTTTCGGACGCATCAAATTCCGTTTTATTCGTATGTCAAGGTGTTAAAGAAATACTGAGGCATAAGAAGAATTTGTGTAGCCTATCATTTTATAACTCTTTATTATATACATTAGGAATAACTGATTAGTTAAAAAATAAATGAAACACTTGAGCTGAGTCCTTCTTTCACACTTGAAAGTAAATCTTTAAATGTGTATTTCTTATAATTATTTTTTTTTCTCAAATTGGAGCCTCCTAAAGTTTATGCCATTAGAGCAACTCTCATTAAACTGTACATATATATTAAATACAAATTTAATTTTTATAGCATGAACTATAATTAACATGATATGTGCAAAAATTTTTCGTAAGCAGAAAAATATCCGATTTTTATCTGAAATTTTGAATTTTATGTTTCACATGCCGTCCCATGTTTACAGTTTTAAATATTTTTTCACTATAGTTTATGCCATATAAAGATGTTCATACTGCACATAAATCTTTTTTCTTCTTTATTTTAAATAAATAAAGAAGGAAATTCAGGACATCAATAATACGGATTTTCTTGGAAACTACAAGTTTCTTTTTCTATTGTAGAAATAAACAAATATATTTTGGAGAGAGACATAATATTTTTCACAAAAATACTATATCTCTCTTCAAAATCATAATTTAAATATTTGAAAACTTTTTGAAAATTTGTAGTTTCTAAGAGAATTTGTATTACAAAAAATACTACATGTCCCAAAAATACGTATAAATATATATACAAAGTTTGAAAATTCTATTTTTTCTATAGTTTTCCTGTTAAATATTTGAGTTGAGTTTTGTTAAATCTGACAAACTGTGTATTAGACGTTCTAGACCGGAAAACTTACTTGTTAATATTGACACAGGAATTTTGATGAGGGGACATACATTATTATTCACGTTTCCTTATTAACAGCAACGTAACTTGGAAAATATGTTATAATCGAGACGAAGGGAAACATCGATTTGAATAAAATTTTTCAAATAAAAATCGTGAAACGTGAAACGTAAACGTTGAACTTACTTCTCGATGCGGTGAACTCGTTTCTCAAGCCGTCAAAAAATTGCAGCCGCCCTCTCTTTAACCTTTGTGTATTGACGTGCACGTAAGATCTGAGTTTGCTGTCGCAGACGAGACGGAATGGAAAGATAAACGTCCGTTGTGTTCAGAAACTACTCGCGTACTCAACACGTGTCTCTCTCGGTTTGTCGCGGCTCTCCATGCGACGCGACTGTTACTGACGAGTACTGTGAATCAACAGGCTGCATCCAACAGATCTCGTATCCCCTCCACTTAGGGAGGATTTTCCTCCGGCCGTTTTTATCCCTTGCGCCCTCGTGACCGCGCCTTGTTCCCTTTCAGACGGTCCCCTCGTCGTTAGCAGTCTGACGAATTAGCCGTTGCGTGGCTCGTACGTCACCACGTGGGAAGGCTTTAGTCTTCTGTCGGGTGACTTTTTTTCTTTTTTACTTGCATTACATGCGCGGTGAACTCTTTATTTTTCTGATCCGCTACGAGCTAATTGACGCCAATGAATAATAATTAGAAGGTGTCTGTTTAAATATCCGCGGACATTTAAAAAAAGATCAAGCATAAAATAGCTTTTTATAAATCCAGTTACAAAGGAATACCACAAATTTTTTCGGTATTTGATGAAGCAGCGGAATCACGCACATTTTTATAATTATTTTTTTGCTGCTTATTATTAGTACGTTCTAATATATTCTTATATATTTTATTCTCATCTTTTTCTGCTTTTTTATAAATTTTTATAAATTTTTTCCTTGCTCATTATAAAGTGCAAATATTAATATCTGCATATGTACAAAAGTGTGCTTTGTACCACGCTTGTATCTTTTCAATCACATATAAAGTTAATGCCACAACACTGCAAAACAGGAGTGTGCTATAATTACATGTAATTAAATATTTTGTTACTTGCGATTCAACGACGGCGTTTTTTGATCTGTTTTATTCAGCACATCGGCATAATAGTCGCACTGATTAAATTACATTGAACATTTTATTAATTTATTATCATATAATTATTATAATTACATTGAACATATTATTAATTTATTATTATTATTAAATACATTTTTTTGTTTGCGCCGTTTTCTTATTTCTACGGTAGCACACTTACTCGGCATTTTTTTCACCATCTTCTCCAGAAAAATAAGAATATATATGAATTTTTTGTGGACCGTCCGAGGACGTCCACTCCTTGCCGGGAACTGCGAATCCATGGAAAACGCGGATTTATGAGCGAATGTGTATTAATATCGTATCACGAGAACGCGAAGTATTTGACCCAATAACCTTGTTGTTTTGTGGATTGCGAATTCTTGAAAAGGGGTACATAGTGCGAAAACGAAAAGTGCCCCGGGTCAAATAAACACGGACGAGCACACAGTTCTTGGCTTGGTTGTATGTTCGAGGTTTTATGTAATCATGAATAAATTATCGTCGCATGACCGGATCGCGTCGGTGCATCGAATGGAAGTAATTCGATTTTGCGGCTTGCACGCAACGTGTCGGCGGCGGCGCTTCCTCGTCCATGATTAGAACTCTACCGAGCGAAGGTGATCGTCTAACGATGGAGCAGTTGACGCTCGTCTTATAAAAGGATATGCAAATCGCTCGATTTCCTAATACAACCTCATATACATCATCGTGATGCAGGCCACCTGTGTGTCTAAGGAATAATCGATGGTCCTACTTTTCGAGAATTATAAGCTCTTTTATAAATACATACATATATATATATATATATATATATATTATGTCTGTTCCAGAAGAAAATATACGACCTTAATACAAAACGGTTGATCGTAGTGCCACCTATTTTATAGCGTTAAAAAGCTTGGAGCGTACCAGTTTGCACTTTGTTGTCATTCCGACGTTACGGCTTGGTCAGAATAGAAATTTTCAAAGTGAAGGCAAAGTATTTCAAGTGTTACAAGGCAGGTATTTTTAGTTTTGCATACAAAAGACTATAAAGTTAACATATGTTCAGACTTTCAAAGTGATTAGAAAATCGAAGATTATCGTTCAGAAGTGGGTGAGACTGTTCAAAGAAGTAGGGCATGTCGACGATTTGCCAGGTAGAGGCTTAACGTGCGCCAACGTCAAGAGAGGACAGAACGATCGTTCGAAAAAAAAAGGCACTACATTTGTCTGAAATATTCGTTGACATCTGCTGGGGAATTTTATGGGAAAAATAGAATCGGGAGCTTCAGGAAGATAACGACCCCAAACATCGGAGTCGCCTCTGCACAGAATAGAAAGCTGAAAATTGTATCATCACGATTGGCCTGCATCGTCCCCGAATGCGAATCCAATTGAGAATGTGTGGGTTTACATAAAGCATAAATTAAGAGGGAAACCTATATATATATAAGTTTATTATATATATATAGGTTAGGTATATATATTAGGTATATATATATAATGTATACATTGCGTGTGTGTATATGAAATTATGATATTTTTATGATATCAACAAACTCTCACGCAATTGCGGCGGGGATGATCTCGCGACGCGAGATCCAATAATTGAATTGAAGTAATCGAATAGAAGGAACCGCGTAGACAAGGGCGTCTTCTAATAAAACTAAAAGATCCTATCGTTGATACGGTACGCCGAGGGACTCTTATTCTCCAAGTTCTCACGTATCATCCACCGACACACCTATGATTACCCGGCCGATACGTTCCGCGACATTTTTCTTAATCCATTTAATCGCTTTCACTCGCCTGATCCGTGGCGAGTCATGTACGATCCTCGATTTTCATCCGCGTTTCTCGAGTTCCGTACGGAAATCACCGTTGACGTACCTGAAGAACAGCTCAATACCTCACTCGTCTCTTCCTCTTTCTCCGTTCCACCATCGGCCGCTCTGTGATCGAACTTCACTCAATTTTTTACCTCCCGTTTTACTAACTTTACTGCGACCAGCGTTTTTCGTTCGTGAATTCCTTAGTCAGGAATGTTCTATTCTTCGTTTTTTACCAGTTATCTCGCGACCCTACCGGTTCTACACGGGGAATTAAAAGGACAGCTGTCGTCGAGTGCCGCCCGGGTGGATCATCGACGCGTCCGAGACTGTTGCTTGGTGAGCGGAACGATGGTAAGCCGCGTTCTCGTCAGGTAGCAAACCTCTGAAGTGCCCGCCGCCTCTCCCTCAACCCCTGTCTCAGATCAATCGTCATTCCGCTTATCGGAATGTGAATAGACCTTCTGTATAAACTTCCTTATCTGCAACGTGTTACTCGTCCCCCCGCACCTGTCCCGACCAATTGACCCGGTAATTTTGATTCGGTAACCCGCCGACTGACTCGTTTACTCGGCCGTGAATCGGCCAACACGTGGTCGCTTGTCGCGATCATTTCGACAGGAAGGCGTCGATTAATTGTCACGATTTGGCACATTTACCGCACTGATTTGACCGACGACGATGGCGACGACGACAACGAAGATGACGGCGGCGATACGGTGAAACACTGAAGAAATTAGATTTGAAGCCAGCTGCATGAAGCGCAGTAGAGATAAGATCGTCGTGACATGCCATGCTCGCGAAACCGGGTGGGAGTACATTTAATGTGTCGGCCACATTTATGAGCGGAATTTCAGTTAATCGACGGCGTTAGCAAGCAAATAACACAAAACGAAATTTGCTCTAAGAATCTCGAAGGCTACACTCGGCAAGTGGGCGAGTCTACGAGTCTTAATTATTGAAAATGGCCGTGTATAAAGGCTTTTCTAACGAATGATTTCAAAAGTTGCTTACTTGCAAAATGGTAAAGAACTCTTTTGTCCACATTGACCTAAATTACAAGTACGTGACGGATATTCTACTTAGCGAAAGAGACACCCTGTATATGCAAAATATGCTGATGCACATGTGAAACTATCGCTGATGAAAGATCAATGCGTCACGCTGATAATGAACGTGTTAAATAAAAGAATTTAGATCTAAGTCAATATTTCATTAATCCGCTCCAAATATTTTATTTGATTTCTTTTTTAATATTTTTCTCCTCAGTGTAAATAGCATTACGGTATTTTATGTGCTTTAAATCGAATAATTCTTTGATCGACGGTAATTGAGAGTTTTAAGACGCCGGATTTATATCATCGCTGCTATTATTAAACAGAAGCGATAATCAGAGATAGGGAGCAGTAACCAGAGAGCGCAGAGAGAGCATCAATTTACCCGGGAAACGCGTATTGGTCAGCGAATGCGTAGGCAAGAGGAAGTGTCGAGAACCTAGGGAGATAAGCTGTATCGTGCATAGTCGCGTATAATTTTACCATCAGATGTTCTCAAATGCTCTCTGCTATCATAAAGAAGCACATTAATGCATTATGCCACGTTATTATCGATCATAGACGAATGGCAATTGCAATGAATACTTCTCTTCTCAGATTCAGTTGGATTTTATCGTTGGGTGTTTCAATTTTCATTGATTTTTGCCGAACAGATCGTTCTAAGAGGATTTAGTAAGTAATCTGTGGAATATGGCGGTTTTGCTATTTTTTTTTTCTTTTTTGTCATCACGTCGCTCGTTGAGCATTTCCACAACGTAGTTGCGTGCCGATTTGCAATTTATTAGATCGCAATTATTTCCTCGCTAAAAAACCGGATGACGCTGAAAAAAGAAATTATAATAAGCTTAGCGCGATAGCTGCTATGAATGTTGTTGAAAACGCGTTCATGACGTATTCTGCTTTGGCCTTGCATTCTGACGTATTCGATATTTCTTTATCGTCAATGATTGCGTGCATCTTGAAATGCAAATCTCTCCAAATATATATGTATATATATATATATATGTATATAATATTATAATAGAAATATTTTAATATATATATATATATATATATATATATANATATTTTAATATATTTTATATATATATTAAATATTTCTATTATATATATATATAATATATTATTTTAATATATTTTATATATAATATATAATTATATATATATAATATATATATAAAATATATTGAAATATTTCTGTAAAATGTATTATATATATATATATTATAACGTAACGGGTAACGAGTCCCGACGATTGTCGGATACCGCAGGCAAGGACCGTTTTTCGAGCAGCGAGTCCTCGTCTGACGACGATAACGAAGACAAAGATACGAAGAACAAGATTGAGAGGTAGAGCAAGGCGGCTAAACGGAGATTGAAGAAACAAAAGAGGAAGGAAAGTCGTAAGAAGAGAAGGAAGATTGAGGAACATTATTATATATGACGTTTGACCAAAATATTTAAAGATATCTTAAACTTGAAACCATGTGATTGGTGTATATATCTTTAACCAAGATGAACCGACTTAATGTTGATGAAAGATTAAAGCAGCTAGTTTCAATTTTGGCTCGCTCTTTTTTTCATTGGTTGCTATAAGTGATTTTCAGCTTTGCTTCAACTTGATCTTCTTCACTTCTAGTAACCAAACCTAATTCTCAAAGATCCCCGACTAAGACTTTTCTAATCGCTTCTTTTGGTTTACTCAAACATAAAGCAATATTCTGATTGGTTCAATCTTCAGTTCAACTTTCGTCTACAACTACGGCGATTTGTGCAGTACGACGGTCCTCGACATGACAGTCTTTTGATCGACGTATAGTTCTGCGTTCGGGAAAAGATGTCAATTTAAAAGAGGAGAAACTAACACCTATTGGTGTATTCAGTCATATTTTTTTCTATAGAGCAGAATATAGATTCGAAGAATAAACAATGGCGCGAGAGATATTGACCATTCAATTGGGACATTATGCCAATTTTATCGGCACGCATTGGTGGAATCTGCAGGTATTAATTTTATATTTTATTTACAAATCTTAAGCCCCCTCCTATTCCTATAATTCTTTTAAAGATCGCAATGCATTGTAAGATTTTTTGCAGACCTCCAATTTCACGTACGATCCGAAAGGATCTAGCTGAAATAAATCACGATGTGCTGTACTTCTTCTTTCATGGCACTAACATCTCATGTCTGAGACTTGGCCTAGCCTTCTCTCTTTTACATATATGCATGTGGTACGCATCCAGATTGTACACATGCATATGGAGGACCTACAGTTTAACGCCGGTTCCGAACGACAGTTGGAGAGAAGTTTTTCTGGAATGTAGTTACTACTCTTTGATAGCTTACCAAGGCCACCGAAGGAGGAGCTACGAGTGTATGAAATATTTTTCTGGTTCTGCCGGGGATCGAACCCGGGACCTCTCTAGCATAGTAGACTGGTGCGCTATCATGCCGCGCTCGCGCTCCGATGTACTGTACAGGGTGTGCGAAAATCTGCAGGTAAGGATGTTATAAAATCATTAATTATGAATAGGTGTATTATATATATATGTGTGTAATATATATGATGTATACAACTGCTATGTAAAATACTAGATTGAGATAGTAATTATAATTGGACAGTTGCATTTCGCAGAGACAAGTTACATTTACACCGAGAGTATTGATAGCAAATTTAAAAGGAGGAATAAGCTCTATGTATGAACAAGGTATCTTATATGATACGGAGCATAGAATCTGCCTCGAATAACCAACTATGGGACGGCGGAAAATTGGAAATCGCCAGCACCGAAATACCTAATCTGGAAACACCGTCTACAGAGGCATTGAACGAACCAGATGAAGCTAAGCATTCAACTTCGAGTGATGACGAAAATGACATGAAATCATCATGGGCTGATTATCTTTTACCTGTTGTTTCATCCGAGGTCATTGACAGTTGTCAAAGAATATTCGCATAATTGTAATAATCGACCGTTCACATATGGTTGCAATTTATGGAAAACAGAGCAGTTCTCCGATGACTTTTCAGACAGGATAAGATCTTATGTAGAAGAGTGCGATTTGATGCAAGGGTTTCATGTATGTACTTGGCCATTATTATACGCCAATTTATTCAGCTGATGCGAAAGTTCACTCTGTTGATGTTGATGAAAATGTACGTGTAACATTATTCATTTTAAAATGCACTCGGTCACAATTGAGTATGCGGTTCTCTCTGATAATCTGCCGTTCTTTTCAGTAGCACGGGAGCCGGGTTGCCGCGCGGTTGCTTCCGTTGCGCGGATCTCGCAAACAACGTGTCGCGCAACGAACGTTCGAGCAATGTCCCTGCAACAGTGGATACACATATGACATAACATCGACATACCGTGGAAGACCTTCATCAGGGAGACCTCCAGCGTGCGGGACGGATCCCCGGAGAGACGCATTCATCAGTCGGCCTTCCAGGGAAGCGAAGCTAAAGTCGCCTACGAAGAGATTAATTAGTGTTGCAGGTGCCATATTATTTATATATATATCTTAAACTTAAATAATAATGCTATATTGAAATTATTACATTGAAAATATTAAAAAATAAGACGATCATGTTATACCGCACAATCCCGAAATGTCAATTTCCTCTTCCTCTCCCAATAGAGTTAAATCGAATCATTGACGTTCTTGCGTTCGCGGTGAACGCGGTGTAAACAAACGATCGATCCTCGACTCATTTATCGCTGTACGATTCATTTTACTTGAAAATGCAAAGTCCAAGAAAATGTTTGTCGTACATGAGAAATTCAAACATATCAAAGCACTGGAACCGGGGAAGACATGAATAAAGGAGCGTTAGAGGTAGATCGCAAACTAATAGTCTGTTCTTTATAGGATGCGTTCTCTTTGGACGCTCACGCGCTGTAAACGCTCCCGCTTGCGAATGTTATTTACAGCCGTTCCCTTTTGGTTGTTAAGCACTTAATGCCCATATCAAACTACGATTTGGGGCTTGATTTGAGATTGAATTTGGCCAATCAGTGCAAAGTTAACTGAATTCAAATTTAGTTAAATTTAGTGAATTTTGCACTGATTGGTCAAATTTCAATTCAATCTCAATCTTTAATCCGTAGTCTGATACGGGTTTTAAGCCGGTGTTCACAGTCAGATCTTATGTTTAAGACCGTCTTAAGTTCATCTTAAGATTCTTCATATCCAATGAAATAAGCAATGTATTGAGGTATGTGCGGGTTGATATCCTTCCCCTCTTCGTCGACAACAGCCGAAACCGTACCAGCCTTCCTGGCCTCCTCGAGTTCCTTCGCCTTGCGCCAATCCTCCCGGCTCTTCTTCCGCGGCTCATCCTCGAAAGAACTCTTGTTCTTCAAGATGGTCGACACGGTCACGTTCGCTAACGAGTTGGCCATCTTAGCGACGATCCGGGCACCACGTTTCCTCTTTCCCTCCTGGGCCTGTTTCGATAGAAACACGTTTGCAACTGTAAAAGCCTTGTTTACCGTTTACGACTTGTGTTGGAAACATTGGACTGTCGATGACCTTCGTACCTAGTCGGGTACAGCAAAGTTAGGTTATCTGCCCTTGACGGAAACTTGCCGTTTGTTGAGCCCAAAATCGCGCTCTCTTTTATCCGCTTTTGTGACTTAAGATTCTTTTGAAATCCTTTGTTCCATAATCAATCATTATATTCGGTGAACTCGTCAACAATATAAAATATCCCTCGGCAAAAGTAATGAATTATTTGGTCAAAATGTATACTTAGCAAGATGAAACTAGTACCGCCAGTAGGTCTGTTTTTTTTCGCTACACTAAAACTGCACTAGAACTGCACCGAACTGAACTGAACCGCACTGGGACAGACTAATACAGAATAGTTCAGTTCAGTGCAAAAATGCAATGAAAGGTCTGTTCGTTTTCGCTGCACCGCTGAAACGCCAGAGTGCAGTAAACAACATGGCGCATCACATGAAATTATTTGATTCTTCTGACGAAGAGGATTTTGTTGTAATACAACCACTATTACAACCCATGACCTATGTAGATGGAAACGATGAATGTAATATACAGCTAAATGTAGCAAATTTATTTCTAATTTATAATATTATATACCCTACCGATCATAAATTTAAATAAATGACTCGTTAATGTAACCTAAGACGTGACGTACATATATTTTTAAACTAAATAGTACGTAGTGCGTATTTAAACTAAATAGTATATATAACATTAACGTGATATTTGTCCTTCAATATCTGCCTTAAGAAAAAGAGAAAGAGAAAAAAATTTAGCGATACAAAAATTAATACTGTTCCGTTGATTTATACATATTCTCGCTACTTATTTTTTATTGTTTAAATAGAATCTACAGCACGTTACACTCTTCATAAAGAGATCATGTCTCGCGAATGTTATTGTAAAATTATTTATATGTAGCATTACAATCATTGCTTTATAAAGTAAAGTTTTATGAAATAATTTTTATAAATAATTAATATATCTTTCGTATTTTCGATAAACCAACAAGCGAATCGTTCTCTGTAAAACGCGTAGGAAGAGAGCAGAATTGTATGCGAAGTATCTCGGGTATAGAAGTAATTTGAGCCAAAGGGCATTGCTGGTGCAGCAGGAGCTTTTTGGCTAATGTTGTATATAAAATACAAATATATAATAAGTGCAATACAAATAATAGCGATTTTTACGAGATCGGAAGTCGACCAAGTTAAAAACTAGCGACGAAGCTAGAAAGTATACATGTATATTGCTATCATTTGTATAATAAAAATTTCTTTAAATTGTGCATTCTGCGGTATGTATATGCTGCGCATTGAACACGCATCACGTATTATTTTTATCATAATAATTCATAGAAACATTAAGGATGTGTATTTTACAATTTTCCTTGGTATCTTACCTTGGTACTTGCTCTACTCATATTTACACTAGGAATAATTGAGACAAGAGAATGAATAGAATAACGATATCAAAATTTTGTAAGAGAAGTCATGGTTTTTTATTGTTCCAATAATCTGCATGGTTAGTTGTATGTAGAATATATGAGTGACGACGTTAACGGTCATGATTTTCCTCGTTTCCCGCCCTAGTTTCGAGATGTTCTGTTAACGAATTAACATTTAATATATTTAGCACGAAAGCGAGAGAAATGCACGTTTAAACGTCATGTATTTAAAACACATTTGCTCTGCCTCTTCACGCATGAGAATATAATCTAGGCGAAAAAAATCGAAGTTGTTTATACAAAGGACTAAAGTAAAAAAAAAAATCCATATATTACATACACATATATATATAAACAAACGCAAGAATTCATTTTATCACATTTCTTTTCATTCAAACGAAAACCATCTCATTCCTTTCTTAAGGTTATTACTACACGTTCCAGATTGCATATACATTTCTCTCCCCTATTTCTTCATTATGCAAAATGTAAAATCAATTGTCGACTTTTTATATCTTCTCCGAGTTAAGACTTCGATTTACTTACAAACTTACAGATTCACATACGAGATTCCCGTAACCGCGCATTTTTGCTCTCAAGAGATGGCGTATTAAAAATAAGCTAAAGCTTTCATCGTACACATTCCGATTCGCCAATTCGCACGTGTAGTTTAACTTTACGGAACCTAAAATACTAGTAAAAACCTATGTGTGTTAAAATGTCTGTAAATATATATACATTAGAGCTAAAGTTACTAACAATTAGTACATAATAGAAGCGTTTTCGCGAAACTGAGATTCATATACACAGAATATTTCTCGCAAATATATCGAAGTGTGATTTGTCGGGTTTCGCGCTCGTTCTCGCAATTTAAAGATCTTCGATAGAATATTTCAACACGAACATCTGACCGGATTCGTGTTAACGTATTTAAAAAATCATTCTACTGTACAATCAACAGCACGATCATCGATCAATCTCCCGTATTTAATCGTTGCATCTGTACCGCTCGTTCTTCATATGCTTCCTATTTCGATGTAATTCTGTAGAGGTTTGTAATAAATGGTTGGATGCTATCTGCTGGGTCGTTGCTCCTCCACGAGGGCTGTCAATCGCTGTCGGGTTTTCTTATTGTTCTGACAAGCCGCCGATATCAAGCCGACTAAATGCTTAACCGAGTATTCCTGCAAAACGCATGTTTATGCATGTTGTTATTGAAGAATAAAAAAAACTTGCTAAAGCATTTTCTTTATTTAGCACTTGAAGTGTTATGACTTCAGATACCTTGTGCTCCTTGATCCATTCTTCGAAGCTGTTCTCGGGAAGGTAGTACGCTTTAATGTACAGTTCAACATACTCCCTGTGCGGCATAGGTCTCAACGACGTCACTTTCTCGAACTTCGATTTCAGCTGTGTGAAATCCAACTGCATCAGCGCTCTGCCGCCGTTCGAGCACTTCTTAGCGTTGGAGAATCTACAATGAACGATGTTGCGTTTTTTTTTTTTTTTTTAAACGAATTTATTCGCGACATTGCATGCATAAATACGTTCGGGACAGTGCGATAACAAATTTCCTCTCACCCTTCCACCAAAGTGTGTGTGATTAAGTGAGCTACATTCTCCCATACCGCGTTGCACACGTCCACATGTAAGGGAGTGCACGTTCCGATAGCGTTGAGTCTTTCGTTCAAGGTGCATACTTCCTGCAAACGGTAGCGGACAACTCTTTAATATCATTTCGTCGCAAATCGCAAATGCGTATTTTGTTCTCATTGAAAGAAGCGGCAAACGCGTACTTGGATCAATGCGTCGATGTAATTGCTGTGCTGCGACATGACGTCCGTCACCTCCCAATTGACTCTATTCATTAGATTTAAAATGTTCGCGACATCGAACACCTGCGACACTACCGCCATGTAAACCGGCTTTCTCAGATCTACGGTAGACGCTATCGTTTGCATATAAAACTGATGCAAGAATCCTCTTTGAGGACTGTTGATAATGAGATGCTCTAAGTACGGCCTCAGGCCTTCGTATTGTTGGCCTAAAAATATCAGAGACTCGACAGCTACAATACGTTCCGCTAATCCGTGAAGTTTCTCAGGCTGCGACAAATTCACAATGGACGAAAGCTGTGGTTGTCTTACTTTGTTGTATTTTGCATTGCCATTGTCCTCAATCGTATCGTTCTCAGAGACAATTAGATTCTCTCTGATTCGCGTTAAGGACAGCTTTAATTTCGGGCTGTACAACGAGTCACTGTTGATTTGCTGGAGGAACAGAGAGAGAGAGAGAAAGAGAGAGAGAGAGAGACACACACTCTAAATCGCATTCAGGGTTACCGCGAGAGAGGTACGATCGAGTATTGTGACGTGAACTTACGAGGTCTGACGTAAAGAATAAGTGTACTGTGTAGAAACATAGCTCGAAAAATTGTATCATGCTCTCTATGACAGTGACCGCGATCGACCGTAAAAGCCTCGACATCTGTAGATACTTGCCGCACACTCTCAGTATGCTTAACGTCGTGTTCGTGACCATAGGCCCGGTCTGTTTGAGCTTGCATTTCTTTTTACTGGCTCTCGCATGATCTGGCTCATCGACGTACTCGTGTTTCAGTTCATCAGGAATGTCGTCGTCGGACTCATCCGAAAAATACGCTGGTTGATTAGCCAGCTAGATAAAAATATTAATTAATGGTGTTTGATTAATTAATAGCAAAAGAAGGAGAGTAAGACGGTAGAATTGGAAAAAAATATAGAATACAAACATATTATGTAATACCTGAGATCATTACGCGTAGAGACGTGCAATGATCTCAGATATTATTCAAAATAATATAAAAACAGATACGCGCGTGACCGTGGAAGTCCTGGACAATCATTTACGAGATGAATAATTTATGAGATTATTTAGCCGTTTTACATCATCTTTCATCATAATATCCTCATCCATGCTGTCATCCAATCCTATCGTGAACGGCGACGAGCCATCCTCCAGGTATTTCTGCAGCCAATCGATGCCCGAATTGTCGCTGTCGCTCAAGTTCGAACTGTCGAGGCTGTTCCACACTTTGCAGTTGTTGAGAGAAGGCTTCAAACTTCGGAACTCTAGTAACTGCGTGGCCACGAAATTCGACTTCACAGGGCACAAATTCCAACCGTCGTTCTCCAAATACATCCTCAATTCGTCCAAACGTGACGCGTGGTAATGAGAGAAGTAAGACGAGGATTGCTCCTTAATGGACTCCTGTAGGTTCTCCGATTTGTAGCCGCACAGCTCTTCTCCGATTTCGACCAGCCTGTAATTAACAAATATTTGATCGAAGAAGTTGCTCACCACAAAATAGCCAAATTATACAAGGTCTATTTCTCTCCTGCCCTTTCTTTCACCGAGTCTTATCTGTCTCTTTTTAAGTTCTATAAATATAATTAATAATTCAGCGAAAAAGAACAGATCTAAAGTTAGTTAAGCCAGGTAAAAGTTGCTGTTATCATCGATTTACTCCCTACCTATTGACTATGCCCAGCACTTGAACGAACTGTTCAAACTTAGTGTGCGTCAAGTCAGTATTGGTCAGATATGTCGATATCTTTGTTTCCACATCGTGCCACACTCGTACCATACTGTTCTCCAGCTTATGCTTGACGTATTGCTTGCTGAAGGTTGCCTCTAAATCCTTAACGTCGGACTTACACTCCGCCTTATCTTCCTGCGCATTGTGCCAATTTACAACTAGATAATACGAGCTCAGTATCGTCCATAACGATTTGCACAGTTCCGTGAGGCAGGCTATGCACTTCTCTCGAGGCACAGCCTGGCACAATTGCTTGTACTGTCTCTTCATGTCGCCTCCTGCGTAACCGTGCACAGCGGCCAATGCGGTATTGTGAATGGCAGCGCTGAAGTGCAGATGTAGCTGATCCATGGCGGATTGAGTCTTGCCCAACAAGGTGTAAGCCTCTTGAATGGATGCGTACACCGCTACGTCGAAATTCGTACACATTTTGGAAAGTGTGGTGTCTAAAGCTTCCTCCACCTGCACCAGAATATCTTGCAGGTTTTCGTTCAATTTGGCGATGCAGTGGAAATGTTTGTAAGTCTGAGCGGCACTTTGGCATTCGAGGAGAAGTGATATGGCTCCGGGGTAATTCCCTTCGTTCAGAAGCTCCTGCAGACGATCCCCTGTACGTTGCTGATAACACAGTACAATCATATTCGTCGTATCATATTTATTATATCGGAAAAAATCTGTTCGGTCCGTTTAATATGTACAGATATAGATTGACTTTCCCTAAAGTATACAAAGTTTTTCTCTACATAAGCAAGACAACATGTGATGAAACCTACCAGTGTTTTTATAGTGTTTAGATTATTCAACAGATCCTCAACCGCTTGTCGTTTCCGATAATTAGCTAGTATACCTAAGCTTGCTGTCGTGAACTGCTCCTTGGCTAATTTTAGATCTGCCCTTCCTATTTTACATATCTCCAACACATCTTGCAGTTGCTCCTGCAGCAGCAGAATCTTCTCAAATTCCGTGTTACAGGCGAACTGCTTCTGCATGATAAGCTGCAATACTTTCTTAGACACAACTTGATGTTGTTGCTTGAGTTTCTTGTAACACTTTTCAATTTCCTTGGAGTGCAATATCATCGGCAATTTTTCCAATTCGTAGCGAGATGGGTCGAAACTACCGTCCATATTAAAATAGATGCCTTCGATTGATTCTATATCTTGGTCGGGTATAGGCTCGCTCTCTGTCGACTGATCGGCCTCGGAACGTAGATCTTCACATTTTTGCGAATCAGGTGGGTTAAGCAAATCAGGATTCAGACCCATAAGGGGTACTTTGGTTGCATTCTAGAAAGTTATGACAAAAAAATTGTTATAGCCGAGTTATAATCATCCGGTAATGGAAAAATAGCCTCTCCGAGAAGCAAAGTCTCGTCGGACTTCAATTAATAATGAAGAAGGATAACGCCAGTACGACGGATTTATCGACGCTAAATAGATATTTCCCCAAGTGTGACACGTTACGACACAGACAACAATCGAGATACTACGTATTAAAGTAATGTCTGAAAATTGATATTAAATTGCAGTTAAGAACGACGAAACGAAACGACACAGCGTCGCTTGGTGCAACGAAATGTCAGATTTGATTGTACGCTGCATCGGTAGTCGGTGTCACATAACCTAACTTACGAATAGCCACAGCCAAGCAACAACGTCTAATCCTAAGATGATATCACGGTTACGGTATATTCGACATGGGAGAATATCGTCGTGAACGAGTGACTTGCCTGCTTGTTAATGAGGCCGAAGAATTTGAACTTCAAATCCTCCATGATGCCAGGCTGACTCGCGTCAGAAGACCAGAAGCATCCTCATCTGTTTACCTGGCACTCGGCTGATACGCCTTGCATTAGCGCGACTCTTTCAGTGGGAAGTAAGGACGGCATAATGCCCGATCGATCATGGGATGATCCTCTTGATCACTGATCACGCGTAAGTTCCGGTCTGAATTTTGAAAGGGGGACAAAAAAGGAACCGATGGCACGCGCTCATCCACGTATACGGACGACACGATACGGACAACAGTGCTGTCAAAACGTTAACGACGACGCTCCCTTTTGAAGTTGGCTGTAGTGCGGCACAGGCTCCGCGTGATAACCATCGCCATGGTAGGAAGTAGGAAACCCCAGGTTTCCGGTAGTGGAACTTCGCAAACGCCGCTACGTTCAGGTGTGTGCGCAAGCTCGGCCGGCTCGAAAGGCCGCGCGATGCTCCTACACTTTTTCGACGTTTCTCTTCAACTCCTGGAGTAAACGTGGCGCACGTGGCGGTGACGTGGATTTCTCAACACGCATTGTAACGCGAGATGTTCCACGAGATATCCTCGCGTCCCTCCCGCATTATTCGCGTAGATGAAACTTTTATCCGTTAGATTGTCTCGCGATAATTCATTTAGCAGTTGAAAAAAACAAAGAATGGCCCGTATTCTGAACTATCTCTTATCGATAAAAGTGCCCTGGAAACGGCTTGGAAACCATGATGGCTTGGAAACCATTTTGATTGGCTGAGAAGTCACATTTAAGACCTTTTTATCGATAACAGAGAATTCAAATGTGATTATGGCGACGATATTGCAATGTTAAATATGTATTTTATATATGTGGACATATTTTATATATAATTATTAATGAGAAATTTTTTCCTCCTGGTAGACTAAAAAAAATCTTACGCGAGGCAAAATATTTTTTTTTAATTCTTCCTTGATTAAGAAAGAAAACGAAAATAAGGTCAAATCAGGATGATGCGAAGATATTAACGGTTAATACTTTCAGCCAGCGACTGCAGAGTTACCGTATTTATCGATTACCGATAGGAAACATAATACGACGAAACATAATACGGTCCATATGTTTCCTCGAAATGTTATGATAATAACCAGAGAGAACTGTTTACATTGATAACATGCACTTTATAAATATGGACACTCGATATGTGGGCGTAATGTTGATGCCATTTACGCGAGAGGATTTCGAGGAAGAAGGAGCGAAAGAAAATGGGAGGGGAAAGGAGAAAACGCGCGCGTGGGCTCGGTATTGGTCCAAGTAACGACTCGAGTAAAACGACGGATAAGCGCAGTTCATCATCCTGGCGAAATCTAATAAAACGACCCTAAGGTAAACTGCTGCTCGTCCCACGCTGAATTCAACGCTAAATTAAAACACAACGTCGACAGAGAATAATCTCGACCTCGCGGCGATTTGCTGAGCTCTGTGCGTCGTTTTTTTCACGTCTGAAATGCTATTTTTACTCTTCACTCAGTATATAGACATTCCGATATTAATCCTTAAATGCATAGTGTTGCAAATTTGCAATATATTTATTTTTCCTTTTTGTCGAGATCAAAGTCACATCTAAACGTGGAAGACCAAATTCTTTCTTAGAACGAAATATACAATTCAGGCACAAAGGCAATGTTCAACGTATGCCTCAGATTTTTTTTAATATTTTTCTCATTTTCTGAGACTACTTACGAACCTAAAAAAAAAATAATTCATTAATAAAAAGAAATTAATCCATTTAAGAGTTAAATACAGCAAATGTGCAACCGTGCTCCTTGTTCTTTTATTATCGATGGAGCGAGACAGACAACACACACCAAACAAAAATGCGACGCGGGCGCAAAGGTCGATCCCTTCCTTTTGACCACCCTGTACGTCGTGTACGTGACGAGCCTGTGAATTGCGCGGTTATTTTTAACGGTGCCGCAACAGTATGCAATGGCTGTCCCACGGGTCTATTTCGGAATAATACGCGCGCGAATTTCCGGACGTTTGCTCTTTGCGCCGTGCGATTCGAAGTAATCGATATTCGGCACCGTTATATCGCAGTACTTGCGACACACGATATCTACCTACGACGACAAATTAAATCCTATCGCGTTCGGAGGATCGCAAGGATCAGAGCGAATGTCCGGCATCGGACGCTGGTATTTAATAGCATCATCCGCTGGAATAGTCGCGCAATAATTCACGGAGAGGCGACACCGGATGTAACGACCGGGTAACGCCGGTTGTTTCCCCACGTAAAATCTTGGGGATTTTCCGGGATTATATTACGCGGTAAGAAATCGGTGTTAAAAATGCTCACTGAAATTTGGTGTTACTTTGACACGGGGGATGTGTTGAAAGACACATAAATATGTGTTAAAAAGCACACAGATTTAGTGTTATTAATTCATACATTCATCTTGCCAACATATCTGTAGAGAGATCGTTCTTATTCTTCAACAGTCTCGGAATAATACACGAGAATTGTCGCATTAATTAATAACGTGATGTTCGAAGCTTAAATCCATACGGAAAAAGTATTACCGACTGTGACGAGTTAGCCAATAATAAATTACCGTTGCTCCGTAGTTTTATCACTCGTGCGAGTGCGAGTCGCACGAGTAATAAATCTACTGAGCAACCGTAATTTATTACCGGCCAATTTATCACACAGTCAGTAATACTTTTGTTTTTCGTAGGGAAAATGTGTTGCGAAATCTAAAGTGAGATCGTTCATCATAAATTCTGATTTTACTCGTACTAAAATAAAAGACGGTTTGACACTTTCGATCGAGTGTCCGATTACGCGCGAGTCCGAAGCGGATCGGAAAATGGAGCGCAGTTTCGGGGAGGGAAAAAACGGAATTTCAACTAACTATCGAGAGGGGCCTTTGTCGCAAAATCGCCCGTTTCATTCGAACCTTGCTACGCTACTAGGCGATGGGTTCGAATCGATGCGACTAGGCGCAACAGCGAGCGTGGGTGTTCCAGGGTAGACTTGCGATCTCGCGTCTCTCGATTGGTCATATCCGGCATAACCTGGCGGCCGATTGGCTAGTAAGCCTCCCACACAACCCCTACCATGAAACAGCGTGTGTTGCGTTGCAAGCTGCCAGGGGCCTCTGGTGGCGCAATTTTTCTAAAAAGTTGGCGAACAAAATCTTTCGAGATGACGATCTTGGTGGTATCCCTTTAGGTGCGGTATTTTTCAGAGATCTGTATCAATATCGTTACCTTCTCAAGGAAATATTTTAACAACTTTTATCCTTCACTTCTGTCGGATCCGAAAACCGTTACTTGGGATTACTATACACCCGATACCGCGACAAGTCAAGCTAGGAGAGCTACAAAACGATCGAACGCGAAAGAGAATAAAGTATACATCTACTTCGGAGAGAACTTTTCGCCCCGTCCGTCTTAAAATTTCTCCCCCGACGCGACCCCCGCAGCACCGGGGAGGGCGCAAAGAGGGAGAGAGCACGGCCCTGAGGAACACCGCGCTCGAGACGTGCGTAACGAACATAGACGTGTGTTCGCAGTGTGGTTGCGCACCCACTGTCACACGCGCCGCACAGCCGGGGGTAGAATCTCTCTTTTCTTACGGGAGCATAAGGAGAAGCGCAGAAGCGGGAGAGAGCTGTGCGGAGAGTGAGCGAGACGGCGGGACACACAGCTCGGCGGAAGGACAGAGCGAAAAGGGTGGGAGAAAGAGAAACAGAAAGAGTCCGCGAAAGGGCGAACGAGGTTGAGTGGGAGGCGATCCCCGCGTAATAACACACACACATACACACGTACACACGTGTACGTGCACACACGAGCGACACAGCGAAGCGGAGAGCTCTCGGGGCGAGGAACCTTGCGCGAGAAGCCACCCCGAGGAGTTGCTCGAACCTTGCTGAGAGCGGCTGCCAGTCGGCGAGCGGGCGAGCGAGCAGGTGATTCTCGCAGGACGACGGCAATACATCGTCGGGTACACGTCGTGAGGAAACAGGAAGAAGAAGAAGAAAAGAGAGAGAGAGAGAGAGAAAGGGAGGAAGAAGAAGCACAAAGTTCCCGGATTTGGAGCGACAGAACAGGAGAGAGAGAGAAGGAGAGAGAGAGAGAGAGAGTGAGTGAAAAAGAGAGAGAGATAGAGAAGGGAGCTTCGAAGCGGGTGAAGAGCTGCAGCAGCCGGTATCTGCCTGCGTTCCACGCGAGACCACCAAGACAAGAGGATGGTACGGAGGCTCTGCAACGGCGCGGTTGCACTTAGCATCGCCCTGACGGCCTGCGCCGCTTTTCCGCGCGCCGTTATGGCGATCGACCTTAGCCGCTTTTACGGCCACTTCAACTCCAAACGCGCGGGTAAGTCGAAGCTTCTGCGAGAACCGGGGGAGATGGTAGGGAGGGAGGGCGAGCCGAGCTCGAGGGGATTCGCCGGAAGTTCGCCCGGACGCGGTGTCGGGACCTCGATGATGATCCCGTCGATGACGACGACGATCGGAAAGCGATGGTGCGTGCGCGAAAACGGTTGGTAAAAATAGTAAAAAAAAAAGGGGGGGGGAAAATACGCGGCGCGCGCGCGGGTAAACGCGCGAGATTTTTCATCGATTTTCCGCGCCGAAGCAGCTATGTATTTCGCGGACGGACCGTCTCGCCGGGATACACGGGTTCACCTCTTGGTGTATCCGGCACAGCTGTCGTGGCTCCCTTTTTTTTTTTACCGACGATTAATCTCGTTCGTGCGCGAGCTTGAACGAACCCGTTCGCACCCAATAATATTGCGACGCAATAATATCGCATCTCGCACGTGTAAGCAATGCGAGATAATCCACGTATATCGTCCGTTCTGTTTGAACTATCTGATATGTTTCTCTTTAGTTGAACTAGCTGCACTGGTTCAGGAAATGCACGAGCGAATTGAAGCATTGGAATGTCGTATACGTATGCTTCGTGCGCTTCAATGTACGTACACGGAGAAAAATATTGTGGTAAAAATTACTACAAAATTTTACAATGTTACCATACTGTAATTGATTGAAATCGTTTCGTGTGTTGTGATCTTTAGTGATGTATACAATGTAGTACATCACTAAGGATTACATCATATAAGGATGCGTCATAATTGCAGCTATAATTCCGGTATATGGTCCAACGTTGCAAAATTTGGTGGTGATTTTTACTACAATATTTTCTCCGTGCACATTTCTTGAGTCAGTGCAGCCGGTTTAGCTGAGAAAAAAACAAAGCGATTGTCATCGCAAGCTGGCCATAAAAACGAGCAATTTATAGCTGCCCGCATGACTGCGAAATGCTAATTTAATCGGATAATTCAGCCGGATGAAGGGCTCGTGGGAGATCGCTGAAGGAAACTAATTTATCGTGAGACTCGTTAATTAGTTAGCTTAACCCTCTCGTCGCTATTCCCTATATCGTTGTCGGCATGTACAGGAAATGATATTCCATTTCTCTACATCGTGTCCTCTATTGGTGGAATAAATTCTTCCGCCAATCTGGAGCTACGTTCCTTCCGTGAAATGCGTGGGGGCGCATTCTGAGGAAGCCAACGTAGTTTATCGTCGCCTTGTGAGTTTTCTCTTTAGCGTCTTTATAAATTCACTTAAAGTCACCCGGGCAGCGTAACTTTTTTCATTTAAAGTTCATCTCAAGTTTAGCGCGTTATTAGCATTTAAATAGAATATCTTTCGCGTCGGAAACGATCATCAGCACCGCTTCTTCGAGCCGATCTGCATTTTTTAACATTCCCATCCCAGATTTGAGATGCTTCTCGAAAAGCGCCAGAATGAGGCGAAACAAAGCAAAAGAATCGAACACGAGCTTTTACGTAGCGCACCCCGATAGAAAATCCTCCACACGCAATCATACGAGATTGTGATCGTATAAAATCACATAGAAGCAGATAAAATTATACATAATTTTTTATATGATTGTATATAATTTTACACGATTCTGTACCCGCCTGATTCCCTCGAACCGAATCGTGTGAAAATATACATATTCGTGCAATGATTCATACATAATTTTATACTCCTGTGTGATTTTACGCGCGGTTATATATGATTAAATGACTCGTTCAAATGTAAATTACGCGTGCAAATTTGAGCTCGAATAGCGAATGAGCGTTTTCAGCATTTCGGTGAAATTCCCGGTCGCGTTCTGACGCACGTTTCTAAGGGCACGGGATAAATAAAAAAGCTCCGGGAAACACAACATTTGCCCTTTGCTTTTGTCACGCTTCTGGCCGCTACCATTCATTCGTTCATTAACATTAACGGGCCGTGCAGGCCGCAATCATGACTGAGCTGTTCCACTTGAAGCGGCCGTACGTTCGCACCATATGGGAGTGTGGCTCTCCGGTGGATAGTTACATGACGCTCGGTCAATAACGCGCATACCCCGCATAGTATTGCGCGAGGTCGTATACATAGTCGCGTTTACGCGTTGACATTTAGGAAAAAAAAAAGGAAAAAACCCTCTTCCCGACTCGCGAATACCCCGTTCAGGGTCGGAACTGCCGCACTTCTTCGAGCCTGCCGAGACTTTTCTAAAAGGGCGCCACCTTAGAAATCTCATGCATTCTTCGAGCAGTTACTAACTTCTGACAGTTTACTAACATCTGCCTAGTAAAGTTCTGAGAATTAAAACCACTTGGGATCCCCAGTCAAGATGTAACCTACGCGCTTCTCCCGCAGTTACTGCGCACGAAAGATGAGCAAAATCTGGACTCGTTTACTGAACGAAAATAGAACGATGAATGAACAGAAAGCTATTCAGTTGATTAATAAGCAAACCGGCCGCTCATGAAATGGACAGTTTTGCCTTGGAAATAACTTTGAATAAAACTCTGTCAGGTTCTTATCCATTTTCTACGCGGTATTGTTATAACTAATGAGAACGCATTGATGCTACGGTAAAAAACTGGATGGATGTTCAGAAAAACTGCATATATTTCTATCGGGATCATATTCGTATGATTTATTCAATATTCGCGCGTGTACGTACGTGTGTGTTTTTTATTTTCTATCATCGATTCTTTCTCTTTCTCTCTACAGAGATGTATCAGTTTCAATTAAAACAGATCGAGGGATTATAACAGCGACTCCGGGATGCGCGTGACCTCGTGGTGGAAATTCGCAAAGAACTCCGACAGCGAAAGAATGCGCAATTCGGTTGCGTGCATTGTGTACAAGAATTTCCCCGAGAGAAAGAAGAGAGAAAGAAAAGATTTGATTGATGATATTACGAGAAACACGCTACGGCGGGGTGCGTTGGACAGATTCGACCGTCGCCGTGCTCTCTCCTCGCGTATTAAAGCCTCCGTCTCGTATCGAATGTGCCGCTTGAAAGAGCGAAAAGTGCACAAGGTTTCAGCGTAATATCAGAAAAGTCCACAACATGCGTCTGGGGAATAAATGGTCGATTGAAACGAGCCGCGCACACGGTCCCTATTTAAAATTCATTGCACTCGTCGCGCCTCACTCGCCACTCGTACGGCCGTAACACAAGTCGGAACACAAGCGGCAATCTCTCTTTAATATTCCCTCGACGGCCATTTCATACGGAATGCATTGAGGTCGGCGGGAGTAATGATGTCGTGGGAGTAACGAATACTCCGGGGGGAAGGGGAGGAGGATAGGCTTCTCTCGTTGATTAGTAAAATATTTGTCCGCTACGTCACTAAACGATCCGGGCGCACGAACGCCTGCGGCCGTCCGTCCTTGTCTAAACAGACGAGAACCGTGACGATATTCGCTATAGTAACACTATTTAATAACGCTTTAATATAGCCTGTATGGTCGATTCGACCGGGAGAAGTTTTAAATTGCGCGGCGACGCAAATTTCGACGCGGCCGCGAATTCGCTTTACGACGGGTGTTTGTACTGTAAATTGCCTTTTCGCGGAACGTGCGTACGATCGCATAACGAATGACATAATGTTGCACAATCCATGCGCCAGAAGCGCTTACATTATACGACGTTTGTAACACTCACAGCGTGTGGAAACTAGCTGTAGTGAGAATTATTCTCTCGCGAGAACAACGGACGAAAAGTTCCTCCCGAAATAAAAGTACATAGAGCGAATGTGTGTGTGTGTATGTGTGTGTGTACACGTGTGTTTCAACACGTTTCGCGAGCTATTCTCTTCCGGACAGTTAAAGGCGGGAACCAATTTTTTCTGGTTTTTTTTTTTGGAGGGTCGCTGAGGGATTCTCGCCAGGGTCCTTTGTTCGATAGGACATTAGCGATAATTGACCCTTGGGAAAGAGTACGAGGTGTACTTCTTTCATTTCTTTAAATGGGACTCTGAGTAAAAGTTCTCATTAAATTTAACGACACTTCGGCTGTACCTCTAAGGCTCGGTTTATCATTTTCCCCCGGTTTGTCGTTAACTTTTGTAGTTTAAACTTAACTTGCTGATGATTTAAAAATTGTGTTTTCCTTCTCGTAGTTAATCATTAAATTTTAAATGTTACCACTACAAAACCATCAGTTTAATAATCAACCGTGAATAGAAAAACGTAATTTTTGCATTATTGTCAATTTCAGTGTAAACCACAAGTTAGCCAGAAAATAAAAGGATCTAAGGGTGATGTCTCACGGCACATATTTTTCGCGTATCACACGTGTCACGTAACCAATCACATCTTTTTAGTTTTTTAGAAGCTTCCACCGTTCCCAACATAAATTCCAAACGTCGCAATTTATTGGTTACGCATTACGCGAAAAATATATGTTATATCACTCTGACCTCAGTTTGCAGATAAAAAAGGACACGGGAGAAAGAGAGAGAGAGAGAGAAAGAGAGAGAGAGAGAGAGAGAGAAAGAGAGAGAGAGAGAGAGAGCATATAACAGAAATTTTAGTGAATAAAAGGACTCAATGAGAATTTAGTTCTTATAACCAGAAATTCTGTTTCCTTCGAAAACACGCTTGATTATCAAATTGATCCAACCAAACCGGTTTCTCAGTACATTACGTTTACTCCTCCGATCGTTGCCCGTCGAATTTCGAGGCTTGTCAAGATGATTTTTGAGAACCATCAACCGGTTGTCGCGTGAGTAATTTGCTCTTGCGTGTCCCTCAATTAACTCGAAAGCTTCGTACTACGAAGGGGTGCTGCCTCATTATCCATATGCGTTACTAATTTCGTCTCTGATCCCCCTTTCCCCACCCTGCCCATCCCGGCCAGGCTTTAATACACGTTGGCGTCGGTAATTTAATTATCCGGCGACTTGTGATCCCACGACTCACCGTGTGTCGCTCTTTCTGAACTCTATCGTTTCAGCGAAGTAATTAGAAGCCGCGGGTACACACGATATGTCGTCGATCGTGCGGATTTACGCGGGAAATGCACGCATACTTGATTTCTCCCGACGCAATTCCGACGGAGAATTCCATAGCGTTTATATCGCGCGTGCCTTTCAGGAGAAGCTTGCCACCCGTACGAACCGTTCAAGTGCCCGGGCGACGGTGTCTGCATCTCGATACAGTATCTATGCGACGGCGCACCGGATTGCCAGAATGGATACGACGAGGACTCTAGATTGTGTACCGCAGGTAATGAGCGATCACTAGTATCGCAATCGATCAGACCCATAATTGGACGTTAACAGACGACTCCCGAAGTCGCCAATTAAATCGATCGGCTCGGACGATAGTTCAGTGTCGCCTCCTCACTCTGAAGAGGTGAACTGAAATATTCACAAAACGTTGGAAGCAACTTCATGAAGGACGCGAGTACAGTAACTCGGAAACTAATTTAAATAAATCACACTGACAACTAACAGTAACATAATATCAATGTTATCATTTCTCATTCAACAATGCAATTGTAACACACGCGCGTAATGTCGCATTTACATTGTTGAGCGGGAAATTGTAACATCGATGTTACGTTGCTATTAATTGGTGTTTCCCGGGCAGATTGATTGCCAATTATAACAGAAAACGACGACGATTCGCTCTGCGTAATGTGATAATCTTTGACCTACCTCTTGACCTCTTTTTTCCCACTCGTGTCGAATATTTCTTTTTTGTTACGCAAGGTTACCGCGTGATCTATGACGTAGACTTAATTTAGACACGTTGTGCAGTAGGTGGATGCAATAATACCGTCCGGTGTAGATGCACTCGACGATGCTCCGTGCAACCGCACCGGCCGTTACTGTATAACAATAACGCTCGGTGCAGACGCACCGTTGCCTCGTGTGTTCGTTCAGACGTGCGAAATATGCCCGCGTCAGTCAGTCGTTCATGTCGGTCTTTTCGGGGAAAACAACTAGAGAAAGGAAGAGAGAGAGAGAGAGGGAGAGAGAAAACGGAGAATTAATTCACTTACAATGAACTTTAACTCGCGAGGATAAGTCCGACGTCTTTCGGAGAAAAACTTACTCATCATGCGGCCTATTTATAAACCACTTTAACACGTTCATTGCCAAGCTGAAAATTGGAATTTCGTATTTTTTATATTTTTTTATTTAGTTTTTATTGTGCTCAAAATAAGTTAATATATTATTTATATGCTTTTATTATTATGTACATAGGATTTATGTACCCTAAATATCTACTACGCGATAACGCGTGATCGGCCGTTTGGTGAGAACTCGCATCACGCGATATCGCGTGATTGGCAATGAACGTGTTGAGCATTTATGAATTCATGTGTTATTACATATGTTTTTTCCTTCCACCGAACTCTGGCTGCACTAATTGGTACTAGTTCTCTTCTTTTCTTCCTTTTACCGAATCTTGACTATATGTTTATCTCTTTTCAAGTTCTATATATGTGTAACAATTCAGCGAAAAAGAATAGATCCATTATTGTATCGACAATTAACAATGAGCAGTGCGTTGGTAATTCTTTCACGTTATACGCGGCTTTTATGTGTAAAGAAAAGCTCATGCACGTACTTGTTGCAGCCAAACGACCACCCGTGGAAGAGACCGCGAGTTTTCTGCAATCCCTTTTAGCCAGCCACGGTCCCAATTACCTGGAAAAGCTATTCGGAACTAAAGCACGCGACACGCTAAAACCGCTCGGTGGCATAGACAAAGTAGCCATCGCGTTGTCTGGTAAGTACCAATTTGTACATAACGCATGAAACTCGCGATATTACGTTGAGGGAGATTATAGTTATTTTCGGCCTCGACTATATTTCTTTTACGGTTGTAATCACAAAAATATAATAGTAAGAATATGCGTGTAAGATTATTATCACTGACATTTATTAGAAAATTGGTTTTGATTATAATTCTTTTACTATGATGATATAGTTACAAATACTGAATATTTTCCTCTCGATGTAAAAGTACGTTCGATTTGGGTGCCCACGTTTGTAAGCGTAGCTTTCCGTCGTTCGTCGATTTAATGTATGAGCGCTCACGCATTAGTAAGAAATATCGTTTGCTTTGGCAACTGTAAGCGATTATAAGCGCGTTGAAATGGCGGAATGAAAAGTTAATTTACCGATAATGTTATTTGCACGAATAATCACGTCATTAAGATTATTTTTTAATGATGAAAATGACAAAAGTCCGAACGATAAGAAATTAGAGGATATTATTATGTTTGCTTATTGGAATCTAATGGCTACGTTCCGATATTTACTGTTAGTAAATCGAAAATCTATAGTGTACGTAATATGAACTGTAGATTTTCAGTATTGGCGGTGAATATTAAAATGCAACCTATATTTAGTTAGTGGTCAGGGTTTGCCAGACCTGGAAAACCGGGAAAAGTCCTGGAAACTTAAAATGTCAAGAAATATCCGGATAGGTCAAGGAAAGATATAAAAAGCCTGGAATCTTGAACTTTACTAATAATTCCCTCAAATGCTCTCGACCCTTCTTTCCCATTCTTCTCAATTCTTCTTTCCAAAACTCATTTATTTTTTATTAGCCTGAATTGCACTCAGGATTATATTATATTATTAAACTTTTAAATTTGCGTTTCTCCTAATAATATAAGTTACTTTTTCCACAATCCCTGCTTCTGAACGTTAAATCTTAAGATTGCATATTGTTTATGAAAAATTTTCCGCTATCACCTGAGAAACACGTCGTGTGAAAAAGTCGGACAATTTCAAAATTCATTTCCTGTGATAACCCTGGTGATGCTCACACACTGCTCAGTTGGGGCACTCAAGGCCAGTTCTCATTACACAGTCAAAACACGGTCAATGTCGATCGTGTAATCTTTCCCTAGGGTGCAAACGTAAGAAGCCCAAATGTTTCAACATTTACACTTTTCACGAATTTACGCTCGAGGAGAAAATTCATGAATTCCTGGGGGTTGATGATAAATTCATTTTCTTCTAGCGTAAATTCGGGAAAAGTGTAAATTACACGACCGATATTCAGAACACGATCAAGTGACGGTCACGAATTTTGCCCACCCTATGCCCATTTTGCCATCCCCGCTTTTCGATGATCTAACGGCCTTCCATCCAGTACCTTATTTTAAAATACTCCCAATAAGTTCTCATATGTCTTGTTATATTATATAATATTACGGAAAATGTGTGTGTCATAATATTTATAATATTTACACGGAAAATGTGTGTGTTATAATATTTATAATATTTATAATACGAAGAATGGAGTACATAACTTAATACAGTTCTGACGTTGGCGTCATAATTCGCTCCGCGAACGCTCACAGCTGCAGAGCGAACGATGTAAGCGACGCTTGCAAGCTCCTGACGCACCCGAAACGAACGCCAAGCCCTGAATTTGCTGAATTCGCTCGCTTTACCCTCGGGAGACACCCGTTTCGCGAGTAAAACGGTACAAGTATCGAGATCGGCGCTCAAGACGAGTCGCGAGAATTGAGAGGCGGAGGCCGACGAGGTCGCTTTCCCAGCCAGCGGGAAATAATCGAGAACATTGAAACATTGAAGAGTCGCAGACGATCGAGGACTTCGGCGCGGCGTTGCACCTGTTGCGCGGCGATCTCGAGCACCTGCGCTCGGTCTTCATGGCGGTGGAGAACGGCGACCTGGGTATGCTGAAGTCAATCGGCATCAAGGATTCCGAGCTGGGCGACGTCAAGTTCTTCCTCGAGAAGCTCGTGAAGACGGGCTTCCTCGATTGAACGGGGACGCCCGCTGAATCATCGCCGCCGCTGCCGACGGCGACGACCCGTGTCGGCGGCGCATCACCGTCGCACCAGACCTCTCGTTTGACGCAGCCTAAGTCGTCCTCTTCCTCGCAGGCTCCTCCTGCACTCTCTCTCTCCGCGCCGCGTGTCCTCGCGACGGTTCCACGCCGCCGTCGGCTTCTTCTTCTTACCGGCCGCGCGATGTAGTCTCTCTCTCTCTCTCCACTTGTCCTTCTCCTACCCTTCCCGAGCCTCTTCTTGCTTCGCAACAAACGCTGCGAGCACCGAGATATACGTCGAGATATCCGCAGGAACGAACGCAAGCGAGTCGATTCTCCATCCGCGCGAGCGGATCAAGTCGAGCGTTTCCGTCTCGCATGTTTCGTAGTCGATCACGTTCAGGTCAACTTCTCGATGACGCTCTTTCCCCCGGACGACCCCGGGGGGCCCGGTTTCTTTTCTTTTGCACAGGGGAGGAGCGTGATATTCAGACGGACGAGTCCGCCCGATCAATAGCTAACACGCGTACTCCTCCGGGCGAATATTTATTTCGCATCTGTCGATGGTTTACACGATTCTGTTCGCGAAAAGAGGATTCACGATGAGCGCGATATACGGAAAGGGAGGATTTTAATTTTAATTGAGGAGTCGCGCGGGAAAGAACAGTTTTCCATTGGTGTGACTGAATTTTCCGTTGTCTGGGGTGCCATTCCGTCCGCCAACAACTGCCAGGGGATGTGTCGTTGCGCAGGTGTAATGTATACAGCAGAAAAGCTGCGCAAGGACCTGTACAGACGCGATAGTTGCCGCTGGACATATGCAGAATAGCACCCCTGGGAGGCCGGACGACAACTCGGTTGCAGGAACGGAAAGATTCCTGTAGGAAATGTTCTGCTCGGTTAAATTGTTCTCGGTTGTCTCAATTTCGAGTTTTAACGCAGTTTAGAATGTTCGCGCGAAATGTTCGCGATAACAGAGATATTACTTCCCTATATAAGCGCGTAATATTTTTTAATATTAATATTCTCTGGAATATTGATAGATGGTTATATGTCCACTTCTAATAATATTTAAAAAATAATATCATTTAATGTTATTGTAATGTTATATATTTTTTAAAATATTCAACTCTGTATGTATAAAGTCGAAAGAATTTTGTATAAAAATACGTTTTATACTAAAAAAATTGTACATATATATATTTTTTTGTCTATATTATTATTTTTTTTTAATATTCTAAGAACATTTGTATAATATGCCAAGAATATTATGTGAAGTGGATATATAACATCAATAGAATATTCCTACGATATTAAAAAATATTACATCACACACTTAGAATATTACTCGCTTATAGGATTTTTGTCGCCGAGTTTTCGTTTCTCGTCACCGAGTTTTGTCACCTAGTCCCTGTTCCGTTTCAGGAACTGAGTCTTTTCTTTCCGTGCGAAAAACACCATTCTCTGAGCAATTTTTCCCTACATCCCCTCAATTATTAATCTTGAACAATGTTGTTTGGTCCGACCGAATTATTATCAACATAGACTCCCTGGTGCAAATGTACGCAGTTTTTCCCAGACGCCCGTCCACTTGTCAAGTATTAATGCATTCTCATTAGTTGTAACAATACGCTATGTGAGAAATGGACAAGAATCTAATAGAGTTTTATTCAAGGCAAAATTGCCTATTTCACGAGCAGCAGGCTTGCTTATTAATCAATCAAGAATGGTTCTTTTGTCCATTGTTCTGTTTTTTTTGTTCAGTAAATGACCTCAGACCTTGCGCAACTTTTGTGCGCAGCAACTGCGGGAAAAGCGTCTTGCATCTTGATCAAGTAAAAAGTAGTTTTACTCCTCATTTATTAGACAGAAGTTAATAAATTGCTGCCAGTAACCGCTGGAAAAAAATGCATGACATTTCTACCAGGGCTGTTGGCTCCACTTTGACAGAACTTACGTTCGCTGTTGCTTCCCCAGCTCTGTGTGTGTGTGTGTATCCGTATGTGTGCGCGTGTGTGTATGTGTGTGTGTCAAAGCGTAATCTCTCCCTCTTCGTGCGAGCAAATAATGAGCTTTCACCCGAGACCTGCTTCTAAAATATTGAGCTTCCTTTATATCTTGTGTCTCACACAGGGTTCTCTCACCCTCATGTATATGTGCGCTGTCGCGTGTCCCGCTTTTATTCGAACCTTGTGTCTTCAGTATACGCGAGCACATATGTAACACCGTATGTTTCTTTGCATAAGTGATGAGTGGTCGATGACAATCGTTTGCAATCGACTGTAACGTAATGCCCGACGGTTGTGCACCGAGGACGTACGCGAAGTAGAAAATCGACAAATTGATCCTTACCGCGAAAATCTGAAGTATATAAATTTCTCGTAACCACGTCGTTGAAAGAGATTAAATGCGATCGGTCACGTTTGTCGCCTGCTACTGAACAATTGAAAGATCTGAACAATTATAACTAGCTGGTACATTCACAGAGAAATTATTGTCGGTTAATATCCACGCTTAATGTCCGTGATGAAACATTTCTCAAGCTCGGTAAGGTCACTTTTAAACGATCCTTGATGAGATTGCTACTTCTGTGTTTCAAACTCGACAAGGAAAACTCTGTAAGAAGGAAACTCTTGAAATGTAATTACGCTCGAGCATGGAATACTAGTTTTGTAATGAAAAACGCCTTTACTTAGTAAAGGTTGCGTGAAACGTAACGCTGACTTTTTTCTTAACACAATAGTCCTGTTTCTTTTCTCTCTCTTTCTCTCTCTCTCTCTCTTTCTCTCTCTTTCTCTTTCTTTTTCCTCTCTTTTCATAACACAAGTTAATTTATGCTATTACAGAGAAAAGTTTTATCAGCCCCGAGTATAATTTACCCCCCATTTTTTAAATAAAATTATTTAATTTATTTTCTGAAAAGTGTGCAACCGTCGGACCGGATATTCTCGAAGCTGCGCTTCGATAAGGGTTGAGGGTTGGAGAAAGGGGAGTTTGTGCAGAGATGTCTATATATACTCTTAGCTACTTTTGCATTATTACGGAAGAACGTGTACGCAACGATTGTTTTCGTTGCTCTTACTTACGGAGTCTCGAGTCTCACTCTTACTCGCTTCGATGCAAGCAGAACGACGATGCTGATGAAAAATTTTATGTTGCGCATAATTATAGAATAATGTATTTTATATATATATATGTATATCGCTGTACATATAGAGACAAGATGATGTCGTTTTATTCTATTTACTGCTGGAACCGTATCGTAGCGTCGATAACGTTAAATTAATTCAGACCGCGCTGTTCTCTCGGTGTATTTTTTAATTTAACTTTATCGCTACCGCCGCTGTCTGCACGAGTCCCACGAGGCAATATCGCAACATATCAATTATACATATAAATATATATATATATAAGAAAGTAAGAGGGAGGGAGAGAGAGAGAAAGAGAGAAAGAGAGAGAGAGAGAGAGAAACAGCGTGCGGACAGCAAGTCTCTTAACAAGTTAGCTACGTTCGAGCACGCGAATCGCAAGTTCTTGTCTTTAAAAGTGGCATTCGACGCGAACGCGAGATTAGCTGGAATGGCCGCCTTTTTAGCGTTAAATGCGCAGCAAGAATAGAGTACCAGCCTTCGGGCCCGAGGAAATAGATTACGTTTAATTTCTCCCGATGCATTTTCCTCCGAGCGCGTCACGCGATCGACACAGGCGATACACACGATGTCGGCGATGACGACGACGTCGGGACGCTTTACAATGCGCGTTTCGAGATCGACGACGACAGGAGAAGTGATGTGCGGGTACAAAAAGAGAGCGGAGCATCGCGTCGCGTTCCTTCAGGGTATGACGCGCGTTTTACTTAAATGAATGAAAGAGGAGAAAGAAAGAAAAAAAGAGCAAGATATATATATATATATATAACGCTAGCGTATTGATATTTTCATTACGGCAACACGATACATATCAGTACACATACATATCAGTAAATTATATGAAGAAATATATAGTGAAGTATAAAAAAAGAAAAACGGAGCCGGGTTTTCTCTCTCGAGGTATAGCGTTCCCCCCGTCGCGCTTTCGTTTCACTTCGAGGAGAATTAATGACGCATATTATAAATTCCTAGTATATATACACACACAATATATATATATATATATATACATATATATATATATATATAATACACACCCACGCTAAAGTAATTGTTATTTACGACAATCGACGATGTTTGGCGGACGGACGAGTCCAGTGTATTTACCTCGAAAGAATTCCCCCGTCTCTATTTACCTGCTAAGGGTATCTTCTAGTCGAACGATTGAGACATATCATCTTCTAATTGTAAGCGAACTTAGGTATATATATATGTGTATATATATATATATATATATACACATACATACATACATACATACATATAGACGTACTCTATATGCATAGCGAACAGAGATATCACTTTTATCAGATGGTAGATAATATTTTGGTATATAAAGAAAATTAAAAAAAGGTGTAATATTCCCTCCAGATGTCAATTACGGTCCAAAGTAGGGCCTGGACCGAGGGCAAAATCCGAGGGAAACTTGTGTGTGTTAGAGAGCGGGCGCGCCGGGGGTCAAGGCGCCGCGACAACTCCGCCCCGCACGCGCCTTGACCCTCTAGCCCAATTTCAACGTAAGTCATAAGGTCACCAATCTTATTCTCCCCCGAGAGAGCGGCAAAATGGAGTTCCAAAATACCTGATATATATATATACGTATATATGCCACGTTTTCGGCGCGCGTTACCAATCGTCTTGGAGTGACAAGAAATTGCTTTTTCCTCCTCCTCCTCCTTCTCCTGCTACATTTTATTTATCTCACGCTTATCTATTATTTCGCATGTCTCGCGTTCTGCGCTTATTCGCGCCCTTACAGAGAGAATAGCAGCTGTGATTCAAAAGAGATTGGTTTGGTCGAAACCGCGAAGCACGTCTTTAAATTAATGTTTTGTTTTTCTATCAAAAGGGGAATTATTTCGAAACACGTTCAATTGAGAGACACGTTCATTCTAAGCTCCAATCGCTCTTCTTTTTCTCCTCGCAGGTTTCGCCGATAATTGGTATAATTATGACGTGCGGAAATAAAAACAGCGAACGCAACTGAAATAAAAACCGAGCATGGAGTCGTTGGTTCGAGGGAAATCGTCGATCCGTCCACTGTTCTGTTTCGGTGACAAATGGCCTAGTTTTTCCGTGGTATCTCCCGCCGTGTACGTGCCCTTTGGCATTATCGTTCCAACGATAATACACAGAGCTCGGCGGCGAAACTAAATGGCTACTAGGTTGGTAATGTGCAACAAAAGGCTCGTCAAATGTCATTTGTTACCTTTGAAAGAATTAACCTCGAACGATTATTCTGTTTTTTTATCTTTTTTCTCTTTTTTTTTTATACCTCGCACAATACAAAAAGCGACTGCGAGCACGACTGTAAATAATTATTTCTACATTGAACAAAACATCCTTTCCGTGCGCAACATTTCCCCACGCAAATCTCCACCGGCTATAAATAAGTATTCGATTTAGTTTCCGATCCGATGAATTGTGTGTCGTCTCTTATATGTATTGTACGTGTATGTTTACTTTTTTTTCCTTTTGCAACAAGTTCGCTCTCCGCGATTTATCGATCGCGGGACGACGGGAGTCGTTCGGAAAATAGAGAAACAAGGAGAATTAACGCCGCACGAAGGCGTGACTTCTTTCGTAAATTCAACTGTGCGGAAAATGTTGCGGCAGCTCTTGCGAAAATATCTTACCCGGGTCGGCTATTATGCGCGCGCGATCGCACGGTTAATCGATTAATCAACACACGGAAGATGTGATTTATATTCTTTCGAGTGGGTGTGCGTTTACACACACGCATACACACGTGTTGCATGTGCACGTTTCAATCGGTAGTTTCGTTATTCATTTATACTGATGTAATATTGTGTGCGTGTGCAATACACACACATACAAACACACATCGTTCGTGTGATGTCAAGTGGATCAATAAATTAGTGATTATGTAAGAGACGCGCGTAATCCTCAGCCTTGTCACTTCGAGCAAATATACGCGGCGCATGCATATATATCTATATAGACATACATGTGTAAACGGGAAAAGAGAAAAAAAAAGAAAAAGAATTTACCGATGACCACCTTAATTATCGAGATATAACAATGTGATAATCTACTAAAATCACGCACCGTCGTATCTATATATATGTTACTTTTCGACTTCTAATTGTTCTACTGCCAAAGCATTCTTATTATACGGCAAACTGCGACACGTATGTACACTGTAAGTAATCCCCTCTCTCCACCCTTCCTATGACTTCTTCGAGTTTTGTACTTTCATTCGTTGAACTTGGTATTTCCGATGATCGCCGAGCGAAAGAAGAAGAAAAAGAAGAAATTTACCGTTTCCTCAGTTCTGATCGACGAACCTCAAGAAGCTACACGATGTCGGAGATGATTTCAACGTTAAAATGTGACGTGCGAGGGAAGTTAACGTACGTTGCATCATTCGACGAGCGCGAATCACGAGATTCAACAGATCTTCATTCCACTTAACAACGCTCCTTACGAACGTTACTTTTCACCTATATTTCGCCTCTCTATTCGTTCGTACTGTTTTACTGACTATGTAATAGAATTCTTCTAATCTGTATAAGCGTTTCCTTTCCATTCGGCACAAATACTTTCGTGTCTATTTAGAGACAGGAATCGAGCGAGTCTTGCTACTTCGTGCTAGGAGTGATCAGTTAGAATGTTGCGATATATTTACTTCAAACAGCTTGTTTTTGGATCGTTTAAACAATAAAATATTATAAAACACATGAAAAGCCCATTTATTTGTCCAGACAGACGATAAATTGCTACAGTATGTGTGTGTATGATTTTAATGTTACGGGACGCTTATGTATAAAAGAAATTTACAGGTGCCTTGGTGAAACTAATCTCTCCTCATTTACGTGGTCGGTCCTATCAGCTCGTATTTCTCGGTAATTTCACCGAGGCCTTTCAGTTCCTCGACCAAGCTACGGATATCGATCTTGCAGGATATCACCAATCTCCGTTGATCCGAGGGGCCGTAGCTGCGCGATTTGAGACCCATGGAACGCGCGACTCTGAAACAAATTAAAAACATTCGCGTTGAGGACGCGAAACTTCTCGGAAATATCGTATCTTATTTAATCATTATTATAAGAAATAATCTATTAGGAAATTATTTTTTCCCGAAATATAATTCATAGTATATTGCGAATCATATAGCTGTATATGTCTAGAGAGAGGAGGGAGGGGTTTCCAGTTCACGTTAGTATATAGTTTAAGGAAAAATGATACGCACTGATGGATCATTGCTCTTTCATCACTGGTAAAATCCGTAGAGAATATTATATCATTTTCCGTATCGCCCATTAGCAATTTCTTAAAAGCTTCCTTGCATTTGGCTTTCAACTCCCGTAATAGCGCTGGTTTAGAAGTACAAATACTTGATTTCAGACCCAAACCTTTCCGGCTCAGCTGTTGCTTGAGCCTAGAAAAAAGACAATAAGGATACTCAGTCGTTATATCTCTGATAACTTATTTAAGAGCTTATTTAAATGTTGTCCAAAAATTAATTAACAATATCATTGAGCACAAACATCACAGGTTCCGTGATGCCCTGCTGAGATTTTCCAAGACCGCCACCGCTCCAGCCCATTAATTTCAACAACTTCTTTCCGACATTGTCGTCGGGAATATTATCTTGTAACTTGGTCTTCTCTATCGTCGTTACATTTACGTTCTTTACATTTCTTTGTGCACTTAAATTTTCCTTGATCTAAATTCATAAGAGATTTAAAAGGTTCAAATGAATAAGTGTTGTATTTTGTGTATTATTTTCTTATTATACCACCATGTGTGTGTGTGTGTGTGTGTGTGTGTGTGTGTGTGTGTGTGTGTGTGTG